GGGCCACCGATATCCATGCTGACAATTCCATACTTGTACCTAAAGTACAGTGTGAAATCAAGCTGTAATCAAAAATAAATATATGGAGACAGAAATGCCTAACTGGCATCAGATAACAGTGGAAGAGACCTCTTTACAGAGAAAAGCTCTTGGAGTGACGAATGAAAACGGAGAACTCTTCACTGACTTCAGTGCCTTCAATGAACTAGTTATTGGTGGCAGTTTACACAAGGATGTCCACAAGGTTTCATGGGTGTCACCAGACAGGTGAAACAAATACCAAATTGACTTCATGTCAATGCTGCTAAAGGAAGTGGAGACGCAGCTTACTGGACAAAAAGTAAGAAGAGGAGCAGACGGTTCAGACCACTGTCTCATACGAGGAACACTCCAAATCAAACTAAAAGCTTTCAGAGAAACAGGAGCTGAAGACTGACCACATGACAAGTTCAGTACTCAGAAACTGAAGGACATCTTAAGTGCAATCATAAGGAAAAGGTTTAGACAAAAATCAACGCTAGCGAAGTAACCTGAGTTAATAAGCTCTGGAACACTCCGAAAGTGGTGTGGAATCAAATCTACATGGAGGTTATAGGCAGAAAGAAGAGGTACGACAAACATTTCCTCACTACAGACAAATGCAGACTAGTCGAAGACAGGAGGATGGCGAAGGAACAACAAGTTGTTAGAATATGCACCAAAGATGGGCCTTCAGGTGAACATAGAGAAAACAGATGTGATGAAGATCCCTGGCTAATAGCAACGAGAAGTAAAACAGACAACAATCAGCATAAATGTGAGGAATCTGGAAGAAGTAACCTCCTTTGCCTACCTACCTGGTAAGCATCGTTTCAACGGCAGGTGGGCAGAACTGACGAGGATATCAAAGCGAGGTTCGGGAAAGCAAGTCCAGCCCTCATTACCCTCAAGTCTGTGTGGAGATCAACAGCACTCAGCATGAAAAATAAGATTCGGATTTTCAACTCCAACGTGAAGTCTATGCCACTATACGGATGGGAGACTTAGTGCGTCACGAAAGGCACTTCGAACAAACTACAAATCTTCATCAACAGCTGTCTTCGCTCAGTATACAAGATCAGATGGACGGCCAGAAAAGATCAGCAGCAGGGATCTATGTGAACGAACCAATCCAGCAGGAACCAACTGTGCAGCAAATATGCAGGAAGAAATGCAGTTGGATTGGCCATACTGTGAGAAAACCATTGAGTGAAATCACACGCTTGACTGAAACCCAAATGGGAAGCAACGAGTTAATTGGTAGTTAGTGCGAGGGCAACATGGAGGGGGTCATGCGAAGAGAGGATGAAAGCATGTGGGCAGACGTGGAGCCTGGTGGAAACGTTGGCGGAGAAGTGAACGTAATGGAGACGTGCGGCTTCAGCTCTATGTTCCTCTAGGAATTAAAGGAAAATTTAATGTAATAATCTGCCTGTAAAATTTATGTGTTCCTATGTAGACAGGAATAAATATATATTATTCTATTAAAGAGATAAACACGCGATTCACCTGACTTTATTATCCGCTTCAATATTGGGTTGGTGATGCGTGCTAACTGCCCAAGGCAAAGACAAGTAGCTTGGGTATCTTGTGCCCGTTACTTGGGACAGGTGGCATCCGGTCTTCTATTAATACAGCCTCTTCCATCGTGCTGTCTTCTATAAGTTATTGCAAGAGATGCAAGTACCGTTTCAGAAACCTGTCTCACACGCTCATTCCTTAAAACAACCACTTTACGCACTAAATTCCAGACACGAAGAGGAGTTCTACCACCCCTCCCTTAAGCACCGTATATGGTTGTGTGGTCGGAGTGTGAAGTATTTGTTCTCGCACCGCTTTGCCAGTATGATAGGGTAGTTCTGAGCACACGTCCCCCCCAAGTCGTGGTCACAGAACTGATGCTATATTGGTCAAAGTCGTCCTCTAGTTGGGCGGACTAATGTCCTGTACCATGTCGACCAAATTGAAGTAATCCTACTCTCGAGGTCATTTACGAATCTATGTCCACGAAAAGAGAATTTTTAAAATAAAAGTCCATGGTTGGTAAATAATGCACTGAGACTGACAAAAGTCAGCTTAGAAAGTATGTTGAATAGAAGGACCTGAAATGAAACAAAAAGGAGAGAAATATATGGATCACAGTTAACTATAATAAAAGAGAAGGCTTATTGTGAATGAACCGGATTCACTAATTTAGTAACCAGCTCTTCTACTCAGACTATTGAATTACAGCACGTATATATGTGCGTCGGTGGCACAGTGGTTAGGACTCTCGCTGACCATGCACATGGTCGGAGGCTCGATCCCCTGCCGACGCACACCTGATATTTATGGTTGGCCTGCGAAATTTTGGGCCACCGATATCCATGCTGACAATTCCATACTTGTACCTAAAGTACAGTGTGAAATCAAGCTGTAATCAAAAATAAATATATGGAGACAGAAATGCCTAACTGGCATCAGATAACAGTGGAAGAGACCTCTTTACAGAGAAAAGCTCTTGGAGTGACGAATGAAAACGGAGAACTCTTCACTGACTTCAGTGCCTTCAATGAACTAGTTATTGGTGGCAGTTTACACAAGGATGTCCACAAGGTTTCATGGGTGTCACCAGACAGGTGAAACAAATACCAAATTGACTTCATGTCAATGCTGCTAAAGGAAGTGGAGACGCAGCTTACTGGACAAAAAAGTAAGAAGAGGAGCAGACGGTTCAGACCACTGTCTCATACGAGGAACACTCCAAATCAAACTGAAAGCTTTCAGAGAAACAGGAGCTGAAGACTGACCACATGACAAGTTCAGTACTCAGAAACTGAAGGACATCTTAAGTGCAATCATAAGGAAAAGGTTTAGACAAAAATCAACGCTAGCGAAGTAACCTGAGTCCAAAGTTCGATCCCCTGCCGACGCACACCTGAAATCTATGGTCGGCCTAATAAATTTGGGCTACCGATATCCATGCTGAAAATTCCATACTTGCACCAAAAATACAGTGTGGAATCAAGCCGTAAACAAAAAATTGCCGAAGACAACTGTAAAGTGTGAAAGCACAGCGGCGGCCAAAGAAAGCGGATAAACCTAGCTAAATAAAAGACGGCAAAGGATTCATCATTATTGTCGCTCAATAGAGAAAGAAAGCCCTAGAAAGAGGATTTAGTTCCCAATCGTAACATTTTAGCTCAGCTTTATCCCTGAGTTTTTCAAAGGATCATTCTAGTTCCCTAATCGTTTTGTTACTCGTCAGTGAACTACCAAAAAGACTGTGTTGTCCAGCACTCTGATTTCTTAAGAATTCGAGGAGCCGTAGAATTACACACACATATCTCTGCAGATATCCGAAGCTTACGTGCCACCTTATCTGGAGAATCACAAACTTTCGGCTTCACTGCTTCTCTAAAGAGATACAGGGTTACTACGAAATAGGGAAATTAGCGAGATCATTGCAGACAGCGGTCCTCAACATGAAGCACTTAATGACAGCATCTAAAATTTACGCCATTATGCAAATGGCTGACTAATCAGCACCTACAGACGATATGATGCAATTAGAGTGACTTTTCCAGAAAACAATCGTAGACTTGTGGAAATTCGGAGAGTGCAGCTGATCAAGGGCGGCGAAAATTCTGCTTCGTTCTATCTTCTTTCCACTTCGAGTCCTAAGTGCCTTGGATGCACCATGGTAGCAGCAGTATCAGTTCAAACGGTAAATAGATAGTCCAGTAAGGAATTTAAAGATCTGGACTAACTGGCATTTAGCCAAACGGACAGTTTCACGTGATGTACTTCCCGATTTTCTATTGTTATTCCTGACACCTTCAAAAACGAGGGTTGTCAACGTTTGCCGCGTACATCTGTTCGACTTAGCCAACCTTGCATCGCATATGGAAACTGCGGCACAGAAATCCAGTTAGAATTAGGAATCGTCCCATTGAAATAAAAAATTAGTGTACGTAAATCACTGCAGCTTACGCTGGATGTTAATAAGAATACTAGATACAGTAGTGCTTGATTTGTTTTGGTAGCCCGCTGAGAAAGCAGTCGTATTTTATTCCATCCGATAATTTTCTGACACCATTAACTCTACAGAATTTCGTTAAGCGATTCTGTCTCAAGTAAGGCTAGTGTGGGTCAAAGACTTTGCCAAATAATATCCCACTGTGTCCCAAACGATTTAATTCTTTGTTTAAGCCTCCAGTGTTAGACTCACAAAATAGCGAAGGGCCTGTGGTTCCGAAGCTCTGCTTAGAGCTGCTAAGGTAATAAACGTCAGTCATTGTTTAATATTGTGGGATGAGTTTATACCGCATGAGAATAAAGTAAGTCGAAGGACCTTGAAATTCTTTGTCACCTGCCATGACCTTGAACACATGACCTTCATATATGCCTAATACATCGCATTTATCACTAGTGCATGATAGGAATTATAACGTCAGCGTTGTCGGGCTCCCACGTTCTGGGAAATCTTGTATTTGCAGTAGATTTGTTTTCCGTCATCCGGATTTGTATAATAAGGTGCATCAGTCCACCACAAACAACCCCGATTTTCAGAGTGTGATGTAAATAAAGACTGTTGGCTATATTGGGGATGTGTTTGTAGACAAGTCAACGAAGATATTGTGAAATTTCGAATTATTGAGCAAACGAGTTTTTTAGATGGTGTAGCTTACTCACCATTCACATACTCAAGGTGTGATGATGGCCACAATCAACTACTTGAATATATACATCGAAGTACCGAGATTCGCTTGCTGCCTAAAAACGGGCTAAGTTACATTTGTAATGAGAAAAATGGTGAGAAAGGATCTCTGGTTGACGACCTCTGTTCATCTGATGAAGTCATAGTCGATGGTTTTATTTTAGTATGCGACGTTAGCGGCGAAACACGGAACTCTGAATGTATTGATGCTAGCTGCTTTTGCAATAATGTTGCTATTCAAGAGTTTCTGGCTTGCTTTTTGAAAGTTCGGAAGCCCGTTGTAATGGTGCTGTCTAAATTGGATAACTGTGATATTTCTAAGCTAGGAGGACTAGAGTTTTTCCGCAAATCAAGTGAATTCAGGAAAATCCCCGTGATCGAAACGTCGGCGCATGAAAATATCAACATTGAAGAGGCATTTCTAACTCTTTTCAAGTTAATGGAATCCAAAGTCTGCATTTCTAAGTTCAAGCATACACCGTATCTAGATGCCGTTAATAAGAGAGCTGAGGAAATACAATCTGCCATGCATGCGTTTATACGCCTGTTGCTTTTATCTCTACCTGAGTTTTTAACTGACTGGGATAGTTTCATGGCCAGATACAGCCATCATACTGATGTTGTGAACTATATTAACTTGGTTAGTTCTTCAAACGCAAGACGTAAATTTGAAACAGTAGTTCAAGAACGTCTCAGAACAGCTAAGCTCCATTCTTTAGACAGAGTTCCAGGCCTTCTCATGCATCTACTTCCAAATCTGGATGCTGTACATGGTTTGTAAGTCAATGTGTTTTTACTTGTAGCAGGTTTAGTTAGGTGTGTCTGGTTTTCTAATTTGTGGAACATATGTACATAACCTAGTTTCACTTTTTTACTGGGTACATGTGTTTAATATCAGTCTTCTTCCTTGTGAAACAACTTAATGATATTACCATCAGTTTCTACTGTGTACCTTTTAAGCAATTTTTATTATCCTTTTGCACAGTGTAAGCGTATTACACCAAATATCTCTGCAGTCTATACTGTTATGTTGATATCCAACATAGTCCTTGCGAGCTAGTTTAAACAGGTTGATTTTTTCTTGCTCGCTTTTCGATTGTGAGGTAGAGCTTCCTCGTCTTCAATAAACTTACGCGTGGTTCTTCCCACCACTATCATATTTGGTTTGTAGTATGCTGTGTGAGTAGACCGCGTCGCTACTGTGAATGCAGTTGATCGTTTCACCCGTTAGTCGTCCGGTGTGATCAGAAGGAGAGATAATAGTAATAGATATAGTTAGCTCAGAGTTTGTAGATTCAAAAAAGAAAAAAGAAAGAAAACGTACATAAGAGACGGCTAGTGAAGTCTCAAATTAATATATATATATATATATATATATATATATATATATATATATATATGAGTAGATAGAGTGATCAAAAGAGTGAGGCAGGCAAGAATGGGTAGTGGTAAAAGGACGAGTCCAGGTGTATGCGCACTAATTTACTATTTACCCCATAACGTCTGAACTCACTACCCATGCAAGCAACATCAGCATACGCAGGGTACATTGTGCATCTATTTAGATTCTATTTCTGTTTAGCACGTGTCGTTACACAAGCTGCTCCACAAACTGAACTAATCGCAGAACAACTCATTGAGGCGTTGCTTCTCTCATCCCAGAACAATCTAGGTGAGCCAGCAAATCGAGATCGGGCACATCTAAAACAGGAACTCTTGCGCACTGGAGACAGCCTATCCTGCCTCATGGAAAAGAGATTCCAAACGCCAATCTACTCCCTAACGCACGAAACATCACTTCTGATTGGCCGTCATGTCAAATGCCCCTTCTAACAGTCCGTATTAGGGTTACCAACCATCCACGGCCATACTCTAACCGTGAAGCAAAGTTAACCGGTTTCAACCCTCTCGCTCAATGTTCTAAGTATCTTCGGTCCTCTGAGGCCCGTATCTCCACATAGAACTAAAGGACAACCCAGTCTGTTTGTTCGAGCTGAGTAGCTGGTCGTGAATGTTGTTCATGCTTTCCACTACTAGACATGCTCAGGTGAGTTTCTTCACGTTGATACTTGGAGCACGGGACGGAATATACATAGGGACGCCAATGCTCACAGAGTTTCACGTCTGTCATCGCATACAGGGCGTCCTCAGGTTTCAGCTCCTCACGCTCACATCATCATACCGTCTCAATCATAATTAATTTCATTAATTACACTGCCCTTCAGGCATACATGGGGCCTCCCAACAAATCCACCATATGCCAAAGTTCGTTGGCTTTCGCATCATACTTTCATACATATACCATTTATTAGAGCAGTACAATGTCATATACACGCCACCTATATTTATTTGGATTTTTTGGGTTTCCTAACAGGTTCGCAAATGAAAAAATTATAAATATGTATAACAAATTATCTTAATAAAAATATATATACATGCATCATTCTCTAGATTCTCCAGGAAACAAAAAATAATAAATACATAATGAACATAAATGTCTACCTACGTTTATACATTTACTTGTATATATACTCAGTATACTCTGTGTCATGAGTAACTAAGCTGTAACCAACGTACATAACCGTCATAGCAAATCGATCCAATTACTGCTCGCTCGCAAAGCCAACCAATACGCACGAGTGGAATTTTTTTATCTAGTGTTCTGTCTGTCCTATTATACATAATTCCCCTCATGCTTATGACGACTGGCATGTGTATTACGTAGTTTGTGTAGTACCCTATATGACTCATTTAGGTCCGGTTTGACATGCTTTATTATTTTGTCATTTCATGATTAAATTAGTCTGTGGTCGGCACAGATTTTAACATCTAGGACGTATGCTTTGTCATCTTTATAAACAACCAAGTTAGGTTTGCGATACGTCGTATCTTTTCTGATTTTAGTTTCCGATATCGTTTGATATCCCAACATATGTAAGGTTACCCTCAGTTTATTTAAAACTGTAATGTCTCATCATCCTTAGTCCATGCACTGCACGACAGCTTTGTAGGATATGCGTTTGCCTTTCTACTTTGTCACATGTGGCTTTACATCTGAAGTTGCTAATATCTCTGTTTCTTCTGGATTCACGTACTTTGGTCTTGAAAGACCCCTCTCTTAATTGAGTAGCTCATTTATGTACTGAAGAGTAAATTTTACCTGGATTTTTTACCCAGCCTTGTGATGCTTTGCTTTTACTTACCCATTTAAGACGCTTACCATCTGAAGTTTCGACAAGCTTATTTTTCCAGAACTTTCTGATGGATTTTTTATCATTCGTTAACATTTGACCTCTTATTATTCTTACGTATTGATTTCTCAGTCGAATTGATTTTATTAAATAGTGAGCATTCTCGTTTCATTGATTTCTCTAGTCTTTGTTTTCTTTGCATAGGTATGGCATGCGATAAGGATTGTATACCGATACCTCCATTACTTATGTTTGCATGTATATAACTATTTAGAGTGTCATGTGGAAGTCGTAACCACTCTCTCACACGCTTTCTTATGATTATGTCAACTCCTTCTATCTCTAACGTTCAATCATTCGCAACTATATTTTGTAGTGGAATCTTGGCATTATGTAGGATTTAAGAATATTCCGTTTTTTATTACGTGTAGAGGTGCTTGGCTCACCTCTCGCAGCACTTCATTTGCATAATTTATCATTTTATCGGAATTAATACCACTGATAGCAAAGCCTATACCTAGGTATTTAAATTCATTATTTGTTTTGAGGGGTCTAATGCTGGTGCCATCGATAGCATCACCTATGTACGACTTGCCCTCCTTTCTGTGTCATACTCTTGTTATAAGCACTTTGTCAAATTGATCCGGAGGCCACATTTCTCCAGGTTCTTCCTCAATTGCTCTAGTTTTATTTGCATACCAAGTCTAGGTGTTGCAAATACTATTGGATCATCTGCGTACATAATAGTTAACTAATCCGTTGCCAGTTCATATACCCTTGTTCGGACTACATAGTTTAACTACCTCATCCGTGTCCATGATAAACAGAAGAGAGGAGAGGGGGTCCCCTTACCGTATCCCTCTGTTTACCTGATATCTACTACCAATTAATTCTACTGCATTATTACAGGATGAAGCTATATGTTTTACCAGTGGTTCTGGGGTTCCATATGCCTCCGCAGTTCTTACTGTTGTATCGCGAGATATTGAGTCAAAAGCTTTGGACGTTTTCAACTAGTAACTGGTCAATAGCTAGGTTATAATCCAGTGTTGATAACTTCCCCCTTGGACCCTAAAAAGTGTCGTCTCCAACATTTTCAGTTAATCCTGCATTTCTAATTGTGTTGCAGATTTCGATCGGATTTCCTTGAGCGTACCCCGAGACAAGGTTAAGGAATGGGACATTGAAGTCCCCAGCTATAGCGATTTGGTCATAGCCCAAGTGATGGTGCTGAGAAGTAGCTGGTTGTGTTCCGCTCTACAGGAGAGTGATCAACAGTTGCCGCCCAGTAAATGCTTGGTGTGGCCTACGGTGAAATAGTAATTTATAGAGACTGGGAGTTCGGTAAATAGTGGTTCCATTGCTCGTACCCATCTAAGCTGCTTGTTAACGTATATGGCTACCCACGCCCTTTTTTATTCCTGTCTCGTCTGACCAGATCCATATCACTTACGCTGATTTCATTATCGGTAATATTACGGACTAACCAGGTTTCTTTCAGGATTATTATTTTGCGGTGTGGGTATGATTGGAGGTTTCTGAGTTAAGCTATTTTTCCTCTCAGCTCTCTCACGTTGCTAATATAGGCGAGTGATAATGAGTTTCACCACATCGCTGTGTTGTGGTGTGGTTGACGCTATGAATTTTGCTGGTTGAGGAGCTAATGTTGGGACTATTTGGCCGATTTAGATGGAACTAGCTGTTGTCGTTTTTTGCCTCGGGTTCAGTTAAGACACCTGGGTGACCCTGTGTTGCACCGCTGTGGTGTCACTGAGGTATGGGGACGTATTATGACCTTGGTTTGCTTCCTCCTCGTAGGTCGAGGTCTGCTTTCGCAGCATCGGATTTATCCTCCCAATTTTACCCACTGTTGAAGCCCTGTAGCCAATTGCCCCTGGGAGCTGAATTTGACAGCTAGTAGCTGTGGTGAGCTGACCAATATTGAGTAAGCGGGACTAGTTAGTCTACAAATTGAAATTACCCCAGATGCACCAAGGACCATCTAATATGACAGCCATCCTGTTCGCCGTACATACTGAATGTGTTTCTCACAAGCAGTGCCAGTTCTTAGCTCTGGAATATTATGTATGACCATAGAGGTGGAGCGCATGAGTTCCGGTGACTCCCTCTTCATTTTCCTGCCTGCCCATGGCCTATCAGGTTTTATTCTTATGTTGGTGCTCTTGTCTTTAGCTTGTGACGTTAATAATGCATTTTCAGCTTCAGAAGAGTTCAGTTGTCATCCATACCTTGAGGTGTCTGAACGCCCTTGTACAGTTTGCGCAGGCTTACGGACTCGGTGTTAACCCCTAATTTACTGCACAAATTAGACCATTGTTCCTGTCAAGCAGTGTCCTTTGTTAAAGCAGACTGTTACTGTACGCTGGTACGTTAAACAGGATAAGACAGCTTAATCGGCTAACCTAGGACTTGGGTTTAGCCCTGGGCTGCTTGTTTTCCTTTCGTAGACCAGTAACCTTAGGCTGTTTCAGGGTATAATTATTCGGTGTCACGCCGCCATGCTTCCTAGCGGATGCAATTGGTCCCTTGGCAATTTCCGAATTTACTGCTGCTCCAATCACCGTGTTTTCCAGGGTTCATACTGGTTGAATGTGTACTGGGTGTGACTTTGGGTGTCTTCGCTTTCTGTGAATTGATACTCCTAGTCGGATGTGTTGGATTATCATGTTTACAGTGTAAGGCTGATTTTGGAACACTGCATCAGACTGTACCAGGGTAACAAAGTGGGTTATTTCGCACAAACTCATAATATGGTTTCGGGACTCCCTTATCTCAAGCTAGATATGCATATTCTGTTACAGGCTGAAGTTATCGATGCAAGAGACGAACTATTAATCTTGTTTATGGTATACGAAAATTGACTGGAGAAAATCAGCTAGGAATTGGATAAATGCATCTATATTTATTTCATGTAAAACTGTTAAAATCTGTCTCGATTAGAGCGATTTGATGATAGATCAGAGGTGTTTCTTGCGTGTAAAATCAAATTTCCATAGATTAATGTTTAGAACAGACTTATGCTAGACAGATATGCATGTTAGCCTAAGCTCTGACAATAGTGGTAGTGATTTGGAGTCGTGTAGATAAGTCACTTAATTTTATGCTTGTTTATGTGTATATCTGATATTTATATAGATATGGGTTTTTCGAGTCGCTCGTATTCACTCACCTGTCTGAACGACTAATAAACTGCAGTTAAATCACTGTTGTTCACTCACTAGTCGCAAAATTATGACTTCTAGAACATTTTAGTCCTATTAATTGTACAATTTGATATCAAATGAAGCTGTTTAATGATTTGCATATTGTTTTGTCGTGTTTGGCTTTCTGAAGTTTTAATTGCCGTGCACAATATGAATGTTCATATTGAAGGAATAGTTATACGTAGCTGTTTTTATTAGTTCATTTGAACAGATCGTATCACATGTTCGTCATCATGAAGACTTTTCATTATACTTCCAAGACGATGCGTACAACGACTGTGAAAATCGTGTCAATGCAAGCTGTTGTTGTCCATTACGTAACGACACACGTGTCCCTTTCCATTTAGCTATCCAACCAACAGCTGAGTCTGAAAATTCCCCGTTGAAAGAGCACGTTGATCTTTTAACAAATATGAGGCGTCATCATACAGAAAAGGCATTTCTAGAAACTGCACTCCATCATGGATTTTTAACATTACCCGCCAGCTGTCAGAGTGGTGAATTTTCAAAAGATATCACAATCATACTACCTGGACAACCACTTTCAGATGTAAAGGCAAATATTAGTTCACTTAATTTGCCTACCCTTACGAAAGGGGAAATATCAATGGTAAGGTGATAAAATTATATTTTCGTGTACTTGATTTTGACTATCAATCTAAAGAATGTTTTGGTTTATATTATATTCTAATAGAAGTAGAAGAAATTGTTTTCATTACGGATTATTTAGGCTAATGGTCTAGATTTAGTTAATATGAAGCGTTTTCACACAACGAAAAAATTCGTCTTATCTACTTCATGTATCACTCAAGATAAATTTTGTCATAAAATCGCAAGTGGTTCCTCATGTCGTCTTTCTGAGCGTTAGTCACCCTTTTTATGCTCGGATGGACTATCTTCCTCTCCCTATGTATTCAAAGGGAGAGCAAGCGTTAACGCTGTTCACTACTTATCCATGTTATCAATTAGCCAAATATGTTTTTAAGTTCACACAAAAATATTGCGTAATGATAAGTTGAAAAACCTATATGGGCAAATGCGTTACTTTGTAAAAAATATTTGGAGATAAGTAACCGCCTATAGGTTTGTTAATTATGTCAGAGCAGCGTCTTTTTGTCGATGTGTGCGAATAAATTCGATGTCATATTATGTTATTTTTATCCTGACAACTTCTTTACAGTTTCTATTCTGTCGTGTTTATTTCCCTCGTAGGTCTACAAACAATTTCAACTTGGTTTACATACTCGGGTTCGCGAAGACTTTTTGGATTTATTGGTTGAAAAAACGGGGCTGTTTATTAAAGCAGTGGTGGGTTATTTAATTTATAGTGAAAATTCCCCTTATTTTTCTCTCCCACCGATTATATCGAATGAACATTCTAATGAACTGTTTCCAGAGGTGACATCTGATTTGTTACCATCGATGACCACTCAGTTACCGATGCTACAAAACATTTCAGATGACCAGAACAAACATTACGTGGCTCCGCCTAAAGGTGTAAAGGAGACTCAAATTACTTGGTTGGGTGAGCAGTTATCTGTAGATACTCGTTACCAAGCTATGACTTATCTACCATCGGAGCGTCAAACCTTAATTACCTCTTATTTTGATATGCTCTTCCCAACTATTGATTCTCATTGGCTTATCTCAAAAAGTATAAATAACGATGTTTTCACAACAGATTCTGGAGGTTAGTCTGCTTTATTGACATAACCATTATTGCATGTAAATTTAGAGTTTTATTTTCTACTCAGTATTATAAATTTATTGTGGCTAGCTTAACAAATTTTTTCTAGTAGAAATATAAGTAACTTTGCTAAATGAAAAGTTCCCCTCTTACGTAACTTTGAGAATTGGATTTGTAGCAAGTTTGTGACAGTACATGGAACAGTGTATAAAGTAGTTTGTAATGATTTAGGTTTACTGCACTGACTGATTGAGTTTCAACGTGAAAGTTTGCACAGAAGTGCAAAAGTTCAGGTTGTCATGATACATGTTTACTGTAACAATGCCCTACTAAGATAAGAGTAATTCCGTACATTACGAAGCCAGAAAGCCTGTTGATATCTTATTTTTCTGTAGTTGTCGGATTAAACATCCTTCATGTGGTTGTAAACTAATACTCATAGTTTGAGTCACAATGAGTAAATGAAGTGTGCCTGATTTAAGCAGATTGCATAATACACTTGGTGTGTACTTTTAGAAAATGTACTTCAATGCACATTTCACCAATTGGCAAAGATATAAATAAGATTTATTATTTCCAATAGTATTAAACATTTTATTTAACAATTTGAATGTTTCAATAAGTGCGTAAACTTCACGTATTTTTTCAAACTGTCTTAGGAGTTCAAAATCCTAGGAATTCAACAATGTCCAATGATATGGATTCACCAGTGGCAGACAACCTTGCATCTATTGACCCAAAAATGGAGTGTTCCTCTGAAAGTTCTAATCAGCAGTATTTTCAACCTGAACTACCATCGTTGTATTCCTTATGCCCATCTATTTCGTGGGGTGGATGTATGGATTTCTTTTTCAAACGTTTTGTCTATGAGTATCTTTCAACTAACTGTAACTGTTTCAAGTATCAATTCGGTAGTTGTTGTGACAGTTCTGGTATCTGTATATGTATGAATAAGAGGGTATCTTTTAAATCAAATTTACCTCATAATTATAGTATTTCATATCTTCCTTCTTTAACTACTGATCAACCCCCATTGATCTTATCTATTGCTGTGGCATGCATATGTACGGACACGTTGGCAGCTCGTGCTATCATTAATCTCCTTTCATGTGCAGGATTTTGTACACTGCCGTTAAATTCAAAAGCTTGTAAATATTCTTCTACTCATTGTTTAAATCACAAATATCATCAGTGCGATCATGTTAAGTCTTTAATTACATCTACTGCAAAAATGATTAATTCACCGGATCCATTAGTGCTAGGTGCTACTTGGCCTTTGCCAACGACAAGGTTATTTCTTTCTAATTCGTCCAGCTGTACAAATACACCTGTTGTTGAATTGTGTAAGGATATTTGTTACGGTGAAGTACGTGTTGATTTTATGTCACATCATTCAGTAAGTCTGCTTTATAATTTTGTTGTTTTAGTGTTTTTATTCAAAATTACCAGTTAAATATCAATTCATAAGTAAAAACACAGTGTTTTTACTTATGAATAAATGGGTATTTTTCGAAATATCAATTCGTCAACCAATACGATGACCAGAAGTTGCACTATCATCAGTCTCAAATCATTTCTTTTTTTTTACTTTTAAGCACTGTATGTAACTACATTTTAGCGAAACAAAATTGTCATGTCGATTTATAATTTGCAGTTTAAAGATAGAGAGTCAAATGGTTAATGTGTTGGTCACTTCACCATTTGGAAACTTGCATGCCTTTGATGAATGGATTGCTGACAAAATCTCAGCATAGAGGTTCGTTCGATGGACGATTGACATCTGGCTATGCATCAAAAGATGTGTGTACTGTGAGACTTAGCCGTCGAGAGCGGTAGGTTTGAAAGGATTAGCCGTTTTCACTTGCGTGTCTGGGTTCCATTTCTTCTGGCAGGTACTATAGTACTGTTAGTAATAATAAGATCAGGCGTAGAATATTAAGTAAGGAGGGGAGGTCTCTCCATTGAGATACCTATAGTACATGTTGCGTATGCTAAGCCACCACCTCCGTCGAGCGATGGTAACTGATATGGGATTGTGTTGGAGAAGAGTAAGGGGTTACCAGATCGAAGCATGACATCAAACCATAGGTCTTTAACTGTTAATTTTAGTTAAGTATATGGAGGTGTAGATTATGTGGCTCATGTCCTTAAGATGATTGGAAACTGTTGATGACGTAGTTCGAAATCGTTCTCAATGCCGCAGATGTATTCACTTGTTATGGTCTCCCAGATTCCGAAAGTCCTCTTTAATATCTGAGCCACAGTGTCAAGTTTCTTAAGGCGTCACTAAATTAAATGAGATCATTGCTTTTACCGCTAGTTTTTATCCCGTCTTATCTATATCAGCTAGATAGCATCATCAACCTTCACACAGAGTAGATAGAACTGATAGCCTGGTGCATAAAAAGATGTTTCCTGGATGACTAGATTTTTTTTTAACTAACAGAAGCTGACTGTAAATCATGAGATATAGTATAAACAAATCTTGAGTTATCAAGTGATGGTTTCTTAGTGTTTTGTCTACAGTGCAGTATGGAAGTGCTCATTTTTTGTATTTAAAATTTTGTACACTCTCGATAGTTTGAAGAATAGGAAATATGGAAATCTTTGAAATTCGTACTTATAGTGATGGACAGAGAAAGGACGAAAGTTTCAGGAAACAAAAGCTTTAAAATGTGTATAAGGATAGTTTTATACGGATCTTTTGGAGATCCTTGGTATTCGTGGGTAAAATACCACCATTTTGTCGTTTTAATTTGCCTAACAGACTAGAGATTTAGAGTAGGAAAAAAATTATTTCGGCTTTTGACTACCTGGCAAAAAGGAAATTAACGTTGGGATTTGTTCTGATGTGCTTCATTTCACAATTCTAAACAACACATAAATGAAGAACGTGAGTAAATCGATAATGCAGTGTACGCAGTCAGAAAATAGTTAGGGGATTACTGATGAAATTCTTTGTAATTTTGAAGATGACAGGGAGTGAATATCTCTATGACATTGTGAAGACCTGAACTACGTCATCAAAAGTCCCCTTAGCACTTTGAGATCATAATCTTGGGATCTAGCATCCCTTTTTATGGCTCAAATTAGTAATGGTAGATTTTAAAGTATTACTGCCATGTTTCTATATGATCAAGTCAATCGACACTTGACAGCAGCTCCACTTCTTCAGACCTTGAAGTCAAAAAGTGTTATTTTCATCCATACGTCTTTTACTAATTTTGGTAGTACGAATTACTGTAAGATTTTACACGACCTGAAATATAGTGGCTTAATTAGTGTAGTATACTCTTTGGTTGTCTCTTAACAACCGAATCAATGAAGTCTCTGCTGCCTATAGAACGAAAAATACTAAGCGATTAATGTATCAGTGAAGAATCAAGGTTCATAGACAAAACATGAAAGAAAAGCCTCTGTCGCCAAAAATTACAACTGTTCCTAAGAAAACTTTCGTTATGAACCTTGAATTCAAAGGTGATATCGCGGCATAAGTTCTTAGAAGCCGCCTTTCTCAATATCTGAAAAAGACATTTCAAGCATCCACCTTACGTATCACATTCTCCAGAAGACAGTTAATCCAGTCTAACGTTAAGGATAAGATACAGCTTTTGGAAAATTCAGTGTGTCTTTATCAGTTTAATTGGTTGTGTGTATATCAACCGTACGCCACGTCATGTCCACAAACGTATCCTGGAACATTGTCCAGCTTGGGTAGCCAGAGGAGAAAAGAAGAATAGCATCAGCTCCATCCTCGAACACCTTGTCATCTCCGGAAATCGAGCATCCCTGCACGAATGCTTCACAGTGCTACGCAGAGTCCTTCAATATCGCACAAACAAACTCCTCATATGCCATCTGTACATAGCTGAAGCATTAGCTATTCGGAATCTGAAACCGAACCTCTGCACTCCAAAGTGCTACTTACATTCACTCGCCCCACCGGGGCCAAAGTAGAGTTTTTACTATAATTTTGCTTCTCTTTTTATTATGTAAGTTTATTATTATTATTACTACTACTATTATTTTATTATCATTATTATTCCCATCATCCGTACTTTATTACCACTCTATTAGTGTTTATTAATAACGTTGTTTTTTCATACAGATTGTATATAAAAAGACTTTGTCGTCTTTCCACTAGTTTGTGTCCATTCTACACGAGCTTATTGATTAGTCATCATCCCACACTTATTACGTCATGCTGACTTCTGCCTCTTTTCTAACTTCCAGTTAGTCAACCCTCTAGGTTTCACTGTACATTGAGTAATACATTTTTCGAGGACAAATTTTATCAGTATCTGATTGGTTTATGAATTCTTTGTTAAATAAAATTATGATTGTACAGCTCATGAAAATGAATCGTTGGAAAGAGAATTTTCTCCACTGTTTACGTCTTTTTCTTGTGAAATCTAGTTGGCATTAGCTCAGTTAGTTGAACAGACTCTCCAAATACATGTGAGCTGCTGATATAAATTCTTAATTTTACTCAAGCTTTCTTTCAGACTAAAGTTGTCATACAGTTTCATCAAAATGTTTACGTTTCACATCTGTTTTAAATTTTCTGTTGATTTTATCCGAGCTGTTCTTCTTAGGTTAGGAGCTTGGGTATGTTACGTGTGCGGTATAGGTTTATCACTATGAGGTTATTTTTTAAAAACTATTTTGATCTTTTATTCATTTGATTTGATATTTTATGTAAAAAATTTATCTAACGTTGTGTCTCTTTTACAGTTATCAAGTAAATTGTTGTCTCATCGAGAGGAATTTGTAAGCAAATGTGAGCAGTTAGATGATGTGCTTAAAGAAAGCAAAAGCAATTCACAATTAACAATTCGAATTTACCATATTCTGGAGTAATCCTTATCACTGGCATTCCGTCTTCTGATGAGGAGGAACAGCACGACTTAGCTCTTAACACTTCGGAGTCATTAGAAAACGTCGACGAAAACGTCAAAAATGAGACGAGTCTTATAAATTTATCAGAGAATAATGTGGACGAATGCAATTCTATACCCCACTTAACATTAAATGACCAACTGTCTGATACAGTTGAAGGTCACCTGATGGCTAACAGAGAATATGGTCCACCCTCCAAATTTTCATGTACTGAAGATCATTTGTCTTGCGTCTGCTGCAAACTGTTTTATAATAACAAAGCTATCAACAATTCGGGATGTGCTTGTGGTAAGTGTTGCAACTGTGTATATTCACAGAAAAGTTCCAATCATAACTCACTTCCATATACAGAAGTCGATCATCAGAGGGATAAAAGATTTCGTTCCAGTTTAATCTGTCCTCATCGTAGACGTTCTTGGAAAGCAAGAGTTGCGGCCATTAATGCAATCGTTGATCTAGTTCCAAGAAGTATTCCCCATTTGGTTCTACTGACAGAATCGTCTGACTGTGATAGTAAGCCAAACAGTAAAGCAAATTCAGATTCGTCTCCTCCAGTTTATCTTGCACCTGAATCACTAGGATTCTCTACGCTTTCGAAACATTTATCTGCTAACACTCCATGTGATCAAGATTTGAAATCATCTGTTCCACTGGGCTCTGAATCTCATCCACCAGATTGGATGCCTGCAGGAACTAATATCCTGGGTAAGTTATTATTTTTGTAAATTGTCAAAGTGAATCACTCCATTGGTTTAGTTCCTTATTTTAATCGTGTCTATTTACACTAGCGCCTAGTTCTTCGCCTGGAAGCCTGGAAGAATATTCAGTCAGCTATAGATACAGCTGTAAAAGCTGTGAATAAGGCAAATCCAAAGGTGAGTAAAAACCACTGGATTTCGACTGCCTCATCCGAACTGATAGATGCTAGAAGACTTATTCCGGCGAGCTCCGAATTCAATGAGGAGCGAAAGCTGCACAAAAGGAAACTTACTAAAAGTCTCCGCAAGGACCGGAACAGTGGTGGGTGACAAAGGCGAAAGAGATGGAAAAAGCATTGGCGATAGGCAACACTAGGCAACTCTTTAGACTCATCACAGAATCGGGCGGGAGAAGGCAATTCATAAGTGAGACTATTTCGAGAAAAATGGCTCCTTAATTACTCTCAGGATAGACGCCTTGAACGCTGGAAAGAACACTTTGAGGAACAATTTAACTTGCCTACAGCCACACTGAACCTCCCCGCCATCCACCACGTACCCGAATGGGATATAGACACTGTCCGCCGTCTGTAGTGAGGTACAAAAGCTATCAGTAATTTGAAACGAGGCAAAGCGGCAGGACCCGACGGAATTATTCCGGAGGTGTTTAAATATGGGGGGACATACTAGTTTGTAGATTAACTGAGGTACTAGGCAAAGTCTGGGAATCAGAGACAGTCCATCAGACTGGGGTAAGTCACTTATTATACCGATATTCAAGAAGGGAAACAAGTCCTCGTGTGATAATCATAGGGGATCAGCCTAACGAACATAGTCTCTAAAATCCTAGGCTCAGTAATCATGCATAGACTAAGCAGAACTCGGGAGGAACAGACAAGGGAAAATCAAGCAGGCTTTAGACCAGGTAGAGGGTGCATAGATCATATCTTCACTCTTCGACAGATTCTAGAACATAGACACACTTTTCGGCGTCCAACAATTGTCATATTTCTTGACTTGAAGGCGGCCTTCGACTCCGTGGACGAAAGGTACTATGGCAATGTCTGACTGTGAAGGGAGTGCCAAGAAAGTACATTGCACTAATCAAGGCACTCTTCAAACTCACGTAGTCGTGTAAGGGCTTATGGGGAATTGTCATCTGAATTGTAACAACCAGTGGTGTCCGACAGGGATGTCCACTTTCCCCATTTCTGTTTAACTTCATCATAGATATGCTAATGGAAGTATCCTTAACTGAACGTAGTGACTTAGGAATCGACTTGTTACCAGGGAATAATCTATGGACTTAGAATATGCAGATGACATAGTCCTGTTAGGGGAGGATGCTGACAAAATGCAGAGTCTTCTGAACACCTTGAGCAGCAATCTTCGTATGTTTGGCATGCGATTCGCCCCTGCAAAATGTAAGATGCTGCTACAGGACTGGACGACGTCAACCCCTAACTTAGTGATAGGGAGTGAAGTGATAGAACATGTTGACCACTTCACCTACTTGGGAAGTTGTATTAGCACCAACGGACTGATTGGCGATGAAATCTCAGCACGGATCCGAAAAGCTCGAGCTGCTTTCGCTGACTTACACCATCTCTGGCGTAGGCGTGACATCCGGTTATCAACCAAGGGACGTGTGTACTGCTCATCAGTTCGCTCCGTCCTTCTCTATGGCTCTGAAACATGGCCAATACGCGTTGAAGACATGAAAAGGTTGACTGCTTTCGATCATAGATGTCTGCGATCTCTGTCTCACGTTAGGTGGTTTCACAAGATAAGTAATGTTGACGTTAGGCGTAGAGTGTTGGGCAAAGAGGGAAAATCAATCGACGAGGCTATAAAGTTACATAGACTAAGATGGCTAGGTCACGTGCTGCGCATGCCTAACCACCGCCTCCCCCGACGGGCATTGCTAGCTGATATAGGTTCAGGTTGGAAAAGAGCCAGTGGTGGCCAAACAAAAACATGGCATCAATCCATGAAATCCTTGACAGTTAAACTGAGTCAGGTAGGGAGATGCAGACTCCCGGGTTGGGGCCCTCGGGACTCTAGGAATCAATGGCTGGAGACAATAGGTGACATGGCTCAAAATCGTTGTCAATGGCGCAGATGTATTCAGTCTCTGTAATCTTTCATATTCCTTTCTACCATTACCCATTCTGTTTCACTCTTATACTTGTCAAACTCTATTGATTCTCTTCACTCATCTTCTTGTCTACCTCTGTGTGCTATTTGGAACGTGGCAACTCGAACTGCTGCACTTCGGTGCCAAGTTCTATGTTGAATCCAGACAGAGACAGACAGTTCTTCCTAGATAGCAAAAGAGTTGACTGTGAATGATTATTTGATTGAATGAAGAATGGATTTAAGTCAAAATATAGTCTCTGATCCATAGAATTGCCAACCACCAATCTCAGAATGCTTGGATGTGTAAATAATCTAGCACACATTCAACAAACGACTTTGAGGAGTAAACAATGCTTAGTGCGTTATTTAGGCTTTAGGATAATAACGAATAAATTACAATTGTAGATCTAAGTTGTAGGTTATTTCACCATTCTTTGACATCCATATATATATATATATATATATGAAGTTTTATAAAGTTTAATCGTGTATATCAGGTATCCATGAAATTTGTCTGACGGCAATACTGCCAGATTAGGATCACGTGGTATACCTAAACGGTAGGAATTGGAATAGCAGACTCAATACTAGGCAGTTAAATTAGTCGTCACCCAGAGAGGGATTAACGCGGACGTAATCTCTTTTTTGCGAGTGCTGAATGTCTTATTATTTTGATTTTTCATTTCATAAACTTTAGATCATGTTATAAACTTTCTCAGTGATTGTTGGAATAAAATGAGTCAAAATGCGTCTTCCAAGCATTTTGAAAAACAGAAAGTCTGCAGTTACTACACTCCTAAACAAAATTCTTTCATATCAAATAGATCAAGTTCACCTAATTTAATGGTAACAGCCAATTCAGCACCTCAGTCTTCTCCAGAAGCATTATCGGACAAATCATTCAGTGGAGGACTTTTAAATACGTTGTCTATAGCTTCGGCTACTGGACGCAAAGCCATACATTCTGCTAACCAGGCTTTAAAGAAACTTTCTAGCGGTGCTAAACGTCATCACAATTGTAAATTATCTCCTGTTAGTAGCACTTCTAAAGGATTTCTACCTGCGATTTTCGATATTCATGGTAAGGCTAACACCAGTGAGCAAATATCTTCTATTGCAAGTATCCAAACAAACACTCTAGAATCGACTCTTCTACAAAATACCAATATTCTTACGCCTTCTGTGCCTCCTCCGATAGTATTAAATTTGTCGTCGCAATCTAATAACACTTCGAGTGAATATAATCGTATATTTTCAGAAACGCTGAGTAATGATCAACATTCTGTTCATTGGGAAACTGGCACTTCACCTGTTCATGCGTAAGTTTGTTTCCGTGGTTCAACTCTATCTTACCGTTTGAAGTAAACTTTAAAAATGTCATACATTTGGTTCCCTTCAATCAGTTCGAAACAAAACAAGAATGAATATATTTGCAGGATTTACTATGTTACTCAACAACTAATTGTAATTCCATGTTCTTGACTATGAGCCACATCTGTTGTATGCGAGCTGGTGATACTACTTCATACTTCAAAAATCATTTAAACTTAAAGGGTATTAAATAATTCTTATCATAGTAATGGAACTAGAGATATGAATATGAGATAGTTAATACATACTCTGACAACCGGATTTTATTTGTACATTATGTTATAAGTAGTTTGGGAAGAGAGAATAAGAGTGAGAAGGTGTAGTAAGTAATAGTACAATTATTGCGTAAATTGGGAGTGCTAATCAAAATTATGTCAATCAAGATCATGTCTCAACAAAAAGCAAAAAAACGAAAAAGAAAGGTCTGTTTACCAGATTAGCGTGAGATTAATCATGCAAATGCTGTTTTATTGCACAGTATGCCGAATCATTTAATACATAGAAGTATATCACGTTTTGTATTTTAAATGTTATTGAGTTGAATTCCATCTTAGTGGCTGAATAGATCAATAAGCTTGACCTTGTAGCCTCAAAGTCCTGCGTTCGACTGCTTATGGTGGGGTTCATGAGTGCGTTATACCGAAGAGTTCCAAATAAGGAGGAAACAGCTATCCAGCACTTTATGACTTTCAGCTGTACTCTGACTAAAGTCAATGCATCACCAAACTTAATCAAATGCCAGCCAACCAACACGTGTATATTTTATCGCTGACTTATGTCTCAAATCAAAGCTGTACATTCACTTATTGTAATAAGCTTTTAAGTAAACAAACTCTATGGGTAAATGGTTGCATATGGAAAAGATAGAATTAAGTTTTTCTTTTGTGAGCTTATATGTACTCCTTATCTTGCTTAAAACTATCATTTCTTGAAAACACTTGTGATATAATAAGCTTGTTGACATTAGTAAATAGATGGTGATAAAAGAAAACATGTGTTGGTTATCATTTAAAGTTTAACATGTATACAATCCAAACATATATGAGTTTTGCTCGTCTGTATGAGACTAATATACAAACATTGTGTAAGTTGATAAAGCTGTTAGCATTAAATAGCGAAATGTCAGTAAAAACAATATCGTTTTGTTTTTCATTCATTGGGAAATACAAAAACCTTTATTATAATGAATTGTGTAAGTTAGTCTAAACATACATCCGTCAGTGTTGGTATTCGTTTCATTGGCATGAAAAAGTGATGAAATGATTCAAAAGAAGAATATATAAGTTTACCATGTGTGAAGTAGTGATAAGATGAAGACTTGCAGAAGCCTTAACACCATCGGTGCATTTACTTAGTTTTAATAGTTTCCATGCCGTAATACACAGCATCTAAATGGCCTTATTTACATTCTCATGCAGACCAATGACCGTAAACTCATGATGAGTACTTTTGTTTTACAGCTTGGATCTACTTGTTTTCATCTAGGTTTTCACTGTTGTTTTGTTATCATAAAATGTCCCTTATATTTTACTCTTAACTACTATTCGGCTCACTCAGTATACCTTTTATGACATATGATGCTTATTAGTGAATGTTTGATAGTCTTATAGACTTTGAAGCTATTTCTGAATTATTACGTAATGCAAAAACGAACCAATAGGACATCAGTTATATCGCACTAAATACACCAACAGGTATGTAACAATTGGAATCAATTGTTTCTTGTACAGATTGAAGGTGTAGATCATGCATTCATCATATTTAAAGAGGGTCGATTGATAAATTGCTAAAAACCATTTACTAACCTTTTGTGTGCCAGAAATCAAATAACAAATCACATACCTACATGTATAGTTCGGCCAGTTTAATTCAGGAAAACTTTGAACGCAGTTGCTTTGATAAAGTCACCAACTTAAACAGCTGAAACCCAGGAATACAAAAAAGGTTATGTACAAGCGTTATCCAAAATACCCAAGACACCGTGTTGTAGTACAGTTACCTTTTTCTAAGTGAAAGAATGCTATTTCCTGGACGGTTTCTGACAAAATATGCTAACCAAATTTATTGAAGGCGACCGGTCATAGCTGATGCCTGGAAGCCACTGCTATGGCACAAAATTCCGCGGTATATATTTTCTTAAACGATATATATATATATATATATATATATATATATATATATATATATACAGGCCAGTAAATCTTAAGGTAAATAAAAATGGCAGGTATACTTTGTAGAATGAAGTTCAACAATACCAGGAATTCAGATTGGGTGGTTTTATCCCACTGCTTCGCCAATGTTAACATGATGTTGTATTTCCTCTCGCGTTTAAGGCTTACAGACAACTCTAGATACGAATTCGACTAAGAAATTGCCTAAAATGAAATAAATACTCGCTTCTGTGAACAATCTCCAAATCACTAGATAACTTGGAAATCAACTAAATAACTGAAGTTTGAGTTAGCTAAATAAACAAAGGAAGTGTATGTTCCAGCAGTAATAATACAACTGTATCAACAATTGGCTACACGTCAGACAGTGTCATTAATCCTCATGCCAAAGTGTGTCCTACTACTAAGCAATTTCATTTTCAAATCAGTTGCAGTTATTAAACTTACAGTGCTTCCACTGATGGCAGCTAATTTTTTTGAGTATTTGTGTTTTGATTGGACACTGGTACCTAATGTGACGTGTCTAATCCTTTCTTTGGCGCAGACTGAATTCTATCAGTCAGGTTTGCAATGTGGTAACCATTCTATGTAGCTCGCCATCACGGTGCACATTGATTTGATGATATTGGATAGTTGGAGGCAGTCGTGAGCCCGAATAACTCAGTGGTAACGTCTCTGACTGCAGAGTTCCTTCAAGGTTGCAGATACGTCTTACTGATGAGTGCTAACCAGCACGAAACCTAGGTCCAAGGTTTCCTGCCGATTGTCTCCAATTATCTAATATTTGTGTGTTTATTCCGTAATAAGGTCCTTGTGAGACTAAACAATGTGTGTTGCATTGTAAATATCTCACATAGCAAAGCTGCAATCGGTAATTTCTTCCTTCATTTTTTGTAGCTCAGCGCTATAAATCTCCTGGGATAAATTTTTTCGTGCGTATATACTTCACGAAACACAATTGATGCTATCTAATTGCCTACTTTAAAGTAAATTGAACTAAAGTTTTAATTCGGTGCACACTACTTAAATGTTGATTACTTTTTTCAATGTCCCAATAGTGTCGGACTTTAATCACATTAGAGAATATTTCGAGCAGTGGCGCTATAAATCGTGAGTCGACAGAAGTTCGAATTCGTAGGCCGTTTGATTCCGTCCCCAGTGACTGAATGGTCAGTGGGCTCGCATTGGAATCTGAAGGTCCTGGGTTCGATCCCCGGAAATGTGGTTATGAGTGCACCCTGATGAAGAGTCTCAAACTGAAATGAAACAACTGTCCAATGCTCCATGGTTTTCAATGGTTCTCTAACTGATGTCAGTTCGTTGTCTAACTTGAAAATAGAGAAGCCCTTGCAAATCACCACTTGAAAATGATAGTGATAATAATGAGAAGAAAATCTCACAGTAGAATGAACTTATCATCACCATAATTTCTATCTTTAGTACAAGTTCATTTAAGCACTTATTTTCTGACCAACAAATATATACAGTAATCACAAAACTCAGTTTTAAATGACCAGTAATTAATATCATTTTTAACTAATTTTAATTATTTATAATTTTTAAAATGTAGATACCGTGACGAGTCGCCTGTTCGAAAAGAAAAAGTGAAATCGCACCATAAAAATTCACACCTGAAAAAATTTCATTCGAAATCGATGCATAATAAGATTATTCCTTTAAATAATTCATCAGCCTGTCTCATCGATGCTTCTAATCCATCATTATGTCGATCTACTGTTCAAGATTTCAGAAGACTTACTACTATGGATAGTAGTAATAAAATGAATGTACAAATAAGCCTTGATATCTCACCGTCATCAACGTCTTCATCATTATCATCAACAAAAGTCACATTTTTGCGGAGTCCTGATAAATCATCTTATCATGAAAATTATACTGATAATATCTTGCACAATGCTAAAAATCCACACACTGGATTACATGATGACTGTCATTGTTTAAATCATCCACAGGAAGCACTCAAATTTAGTAAGTTTCATAGCTTTTTTTATTACAACTGTGTTCAATGCGTATATTAGTGTAGGCGATCAGTGTTTTATGTGTAAAACAATGTAATATTTCTTTATTTTTCCGACTGACTGAATGTATTAACAGTTTTTATTTTCTTAAGACAGTTGTACAGTAAATATTGAACAGCGATGAAAGAAATTTAAGAGAAAAAAGTGAAAGAACAAATATAAGTGCAGTATAACATGAAACCATTTTATATTCTAGTTTCTCTCCAGCTGTATGTAACGTGCAACAACGGGTTTCAGGCGCTTTGATGGAGATTGCTTCCCCCAACTTAAGGAGAATTGAACTCCTTTGCTTGTTGATAATTTTGAAGGATCTTGCTACGTCCGCCTCATGACCCATAGGCCTAGCAACAGCACTGTTGAGAGCATTTGCTCCCTTGAGACATAGACTTTTCAGTACATGTTCAGGAAATCGGAGGTGTTCTCCCAATGTAACTACTGTCGCAAATACACGTAAGTTTGTATACATAGTTGGAGTTAAGATGAGAAGGGTATCTGTCGACTTCTGACTGCACCAAAGAGCATGTGGTTCGATAGACGGGAACGAATTTAGCTACAGGATAGGCTCTGGCTAGTAACGTACCCAATCCTCTGTTGACCATTGCTGCAATGTTTTCACCTTTAAAATCTAGTTGAATAAAGACAAGCTTTTTTCAACTGTGATTTGTTTGATGTTTCAGCCTTCATATCTTCCATATTTGTTAATGAATCTTTGAAGATAACCGTTGTTTTTCAACACCTTTTCAAGAATCGTAAATTTTTCCTCTAGTTTCTCTGCAGAGCATATTCTCCTCGCTATATAGTACAGAGTCTTGAATAGTGCTCGTTTTTATCTACTTGGACAAAAACTATTAAAATGCAAGTATTGCCCATTCCGTGTCGGCTTTGTGTGAATTGACCTCTGAAGACTACCATCATCCAGGTGTTGCATGGCGATGTCGAGGAAATGAAATTTTCCATCATTTTCATGTTCTATAATTCCATATCAGTTTGTTTATTAGATATATCACACAGGGAAACAGTATAATTTACTGGATGACGTTTCGAACAAAATTTAATTCTTCATAATCGTATCAATTATAATCACACGACTTCAAAACTTGAGTTTTATAGTTTTATTTGTTCTCTTCTATTTGTCGTAGGGTAGTAGGATTTTCCAGATATCTGGGACGAATGTTGAATCATTCCTATTACACGTGTTTGCAGTTGATTCGATAAACAAAGCTTCTGTTATCAATCTCTCCCTCCATTCTGTGACATTAGGTTTTAAAACTCATCTTATGCCATCCTATTGTATAGTTGTGTGTAATTGCATGTAGTGAGTGCTATAGCTGAACTATTCTCTAAATTTCTTATCTTATTTGGGTCAACTAATCTAGATTTTGCTAGGTTTTTACGTTCGGCTAGTCTGACTGCCCCTGCTCTACTACTTTGACCTATGTATTTAACCTGACCATTATTGCAGGGTATTGGATAAACTAAATTGTTTTGGTTTAAAAGCTCTACAGGATCCTTTAACTGTCAAAGCTTGTTTCTAATTGAGCTTGTGGGTTTGAATACCACTTTTATTCCTGCATTGTTAAGAATTCTGCATAAGATTTCTGAGGTTCTAACATTGGAAGTTCCCCTTCCTGACTTTCCAATTCATAAGTGAATTGAATTGCCTCCACCTTTGAGTTAATGTGTTCGAAAAATCTATCTTTATCTTATGTTCTAAGTACAGTGAATTTGTCATCTACATACCTCCACCATACTTTTGGGGTGCGGGTGAAGGTTCCAATCGCTATGTTTTCCCATCTATCCATGAATATACCTGCCACAACCGGGGATATTGGTGATCCCATGGCAACTCCCTCAGTTCGTTTGTATATTTTCCCCTGGAATTTAAATATTGCGGAACTCTGTCGTAGCTGCACTCCCAGCATTATGTCCTCAAGTGGCACTTTCGTCCTAAGTTCGAGTCATGGTCAAAAATGAGTTCGTTTCTGACTGCCTCTATAGCCATATTTATTGGTATACGTGTATATAAACTGACAATGTCAAAACTAATAATTTTTCCTTCATTGCTCATGTTTTATAGTAAATTAGATATTTGTATGTAACTTGCTGAATAATCCGAGTAGGTAGGAAGCATGACTTGCATTGTTGCACACTATATATTATCGACATATCGGCAGTAAGAAGTTGTTTCGTCGATCTTATGCTTCAACTTAGTTCTTTCAACGTTGGACATGATTATATCTGCTAAGACATGGCTAAGTGGACTGCCCATAGGTACACCATCTATTTGGCGGTAGAGTGTTGTGAAACTGAAACTTTATACCCGAGTTTATTATAATGGAGTGTTTATTGTGTTTAGCCAACTGATCACTTGCAAATATTCCCCACATTAAGCTAGACACAGAAGTCAGATTTAACTGTGGTAACAACTTTATTATACCAAATACAGGATATATTATTATTATTATTGTTCCCTTGGGTTCCTAGTGGAACATAAAGCTTTAACTGCTCGTCTCCACTTGCTTCTCTCTTCTACTGTGCTTTTCACCTGCATTCAAGTTAGTCCATACTCTTTCAACTCCTCTTCACACGATCTCCTCCATGTCACCCTTGGACGTCCCACACGCCGCTTCCCTTTCGGGTTCCACTCGAGCAATGGCCTGACGCGCGATGTCACCCAGCGGTCTCCTCAGCGAGTGACCGATCCATCTCCATTTTCTCCTGCATATTTGTTGGGCGATTGGTTCTTGCTTTGTTTGTTCCCATAGTTCCTTGTTGGTGATTCTTTCCGGCCCGGTCATCTGATCTTCACTATAGAGCGAAGACAGTTAGTTGTTGATAAAGGTCTGCAACAGGCTGTTGGAAATATTTTTTGTGACCCACCCGCCAAGTTTCTGATCCGTATAGAAGAGCTGACTGACTTGACGTTTGTATTGAAAATCCTACCGAATTTTGTTGTTGATGCTGAGTGACGAAGATTTCCAGATTGATTTCAGGTTGATGAATATGTTTCTCGCCTTCCCGATTCTCGTTCGATTTGACATCCTCCTCCGTTCCTCCTGTAGTCGAGACAATGATTCCTAGATCAGTGATGAATGAAGTAACCTCTTTCGAATCCCTCCCGTTGATGGTGATTGACACTGGATGTTTCTGCTGTTGTTGTTGGTTGGTTATTTTCATCACCTCCGTCTTGTCTATGTTCACCGGGAGTCCTGTCTTCGTTGGCTGCTTCTTCGACCAGTTTGTCGGTCGGTTTCCGCTTGTATGTCTTCGATTTTGTGTGACATTAAACATAAATCATCCACGCGCGAAATCCAGGTCTTCTAGGTTCTTCGTGTCGGTTCAGGATATTCCTGTCTTCTCGTTTCCCACTCACTGTCTGACGCATAATCCAGTCCACCACAGTTAGGAATATCATTGGTGATAATAAGCCAGCACCCTTGTCTGACTCCTGTGTTTACTCCAAACGCCTCGCTGAGTTTCCCGTTGTGGATCACTTGACTGACATGTGCCGTTGTCGTACAGCTGTTGAATAAGGTTGATGAATATTTGAGGCACTGTAGGCCGTAGTACTCGAGTAGTTTCCAAATTACTTCGTAGCCAATGCTGTCGAAGGCCTTCTCGAAGTCTGTAAAGTTGAGGTAGAGGTTTGATTGCCATTCCATGCTTTGTTCTGTGATGATGATGCGTAGAGTTGCAATTTGGTCAGTACATGATTTGCCAGACTTTCCTGAATCCAGCTTGTTCTGGTCGGAGTTCTGTCTCCAGTGCGTCCTTAATTGTTTCCAGGATAATGCGACTCAGGACTTTACTTGGCGTCGACAGGAGCACGATTCCTGTTTATTGTTTCTCTTTTCAAAACCGTGTGGATTGTTGGTGATTAGGCTGAGATATGACTATTGACAGAAAGAGAGAGTTTTTAATACTCTTCAGATATTCACATCTAAATGTTTGTTGTTTTTTATTAAATCTCCATTTAGTTATACTGGTAGATGTTCCTGGGTACGAGAGATTAAGTTCCTATAGTAATAGCTGACGTAACTGGTCCCACAGGAGCAGTTGGATTAATGGATAGACAAAGAAAGGCGATTAACATAGACACGTCATCTTTCAGATTCTGTATCACAAAATGGAGGTATGTACATAACGTAAACTGCAATTCACCAGGATTAAAAGTTCTTTGAAATAATTTCCTTGTTGATCTCTGAATTGCACTCGCACATAGGCTGGCTTGGTGCTCTCAGATGCAAGACATCTCTTTTCGACTTTAGCAGCCATGTTGGGCTTTCTTGTGGACTTCTTCTAGTAATTTTAGGGTACACACTATACAAGGATAATTGGTTTTTACAAGGTGAAAATAAAGTCTCACAAAGTTTGCACTTGATTTATTTGATTTTTTTCATGTACCTCGCTTCCCGCTTTATTCATTTTGGTTTCGTTTTAGTAAGCTATGTTCATTATAGGTAGGATAATGACTATGTGTTTACTGGATTTCGCTGTTTTTTCTCTTCCTATTATTCGATTTATGAATATGTGATTGATTGATTCGTATCAGCTAACAGTTAATTTTACATTCCTACAAATAAACGTCATGCAAATATGGATATTCTTTCTTCATTTTCTATGCTCCGTTACAGCTGCCGAAGTTTACAGATTTCATTGATATGATTATTTCAATGTTAGTAGGTACTTTAAAAACTTTGAAGGTTAACTAAATGATGAGTTACTGAAAATATATAACCTGGCCAAAGTAAAATGGAATTCAATTATAAAACAAACTTTTCATGGGACTGACTAAAACGTCACACAAACATGTGTGCTCTTCAAATCTTAGTGTATGATTTATCAAACAAGATTTGAATCAATCAACAAATATTCTTGGTATTGCAAAAATTGGTTTATCTGACCGTTTTATGACGTTTGAGAAGTGCTACTTCCTTCCATTAAACTTAATGTTTCTTTATTCAACCCCATTGTTCCTTTCATTGTATCACTGTCTATTTGAGGACGTTTCTCTTAAATACCTCTAGATTACAAAACATCTTTCTGTTTCTTGTCATAGTTAAATCATTAACGCAAATACAGTTAGTGACTCCATTATGGGTAAATTTTGTTTTGATAAAGTCTCACAGTGTTATACAGTAATGTTTACTGATGACGTTTCGAGCACAAATTATTGCTCATAATCATATCAAGGTAATCACATGACTTCCTAAATTCATTTATATAGTTCCATTGCTTTTCTCTTGATTTTCACTTGATTTGATTGGTAATAGTATTTTCCATATTTCAGGTATGAGTGATGAGTCATTCCTATTGCATGTGTTGGGTGTAGACTCGATGAACAAGGATTCAGTAATCAACCTTTCTCTCCACCTACCTAGATTACTTTTTAGAATTTTAACCCTCTCCCACCCTATTGTGTGGCTGTGTGTTAGCGCATACATTGCAATTGCTGAGCTTTTTTCTAAATTACTTATCTTCTCGGGGTCAACCATTCTTACCTTAGCTAAATTCTTATGCTCTAAATTCATAAAGGGGACTAATTGCTTTAAAAAATGACATGTAGAAAGTTATGTCGCTATCAGTAAGTGAGGTGAGACAAATACAAACAGAAGTGTAGGATATTTGGTCTGTATATATCAACTTCATTCAGCTTATGGATCAGGTATGGATTTTTCAATCTCATTCATTACATTGTCTACAGGTTTCTTAGTCTTCTTGTATGAACCTCTTTGATTCTGTTTATTGACCTGTTCATAACTGCTGGCATTTACCATGCTTTCTCATTCCCCAAACATTTTAGAGCTCATATTTCTTGTTGTAATTAGTTCTTTTTCTTCGGATATCTGAATGCTTTGACGTGTTCAGCGGTTTTACCTATTGCTCTTAATGCTACTTATACACTGGGAGTGATATCCTTAGGTTTTAACCTATCACTGAAGTCTAAATCTTTTTCGAGCAATTTTATTTCATCAGAGCTTAATGTTCTTGTTTGAGAGGTTTTCCTCATCCATTTTTTTGATTTGACCGTTGATAGTGTTACATGGATAATTTCACTTTTTGTGTAGCAAGATGTTTTCTATTAATTTGTAGAACTTTTTAATTCGAGTGTTTCTGAATTTACTGTAAACAGCTGGTCTTTCAGTTTTAAATGTTTGAACCATGATGTCATAATTCAGTTAATAATACTTTACTTCTGTGTGCTATATCAAATAAACTCATCTATTATGAAACTGCTCGTTCTATTACTTTGATGCTTATTCATTCATTAAAAGATAAGAAATTAAGAAAAAAAACTTCATTATATTAAGTGATCAGTGATATGATTCCTTCCAGTTAAACTGGTAATTGTTATTATTTATTATCAGGTAAACAAGGTGTACAACATGTCCATGAAATGCCGTCTTCGAATTTTAATGCAACCGTAATGGTAAGTCCTCTATAGTAATCAGTTTTTCACTGATTATCCTGTTTCTAGTGTAGTGATATTGAGAGATAGTTCTACGTCTATTTCTATAAAAGAATTTTTTAGTTAAAATACATCGCGAAAAAAACTCATAGATTATCGGGTATCATTTCATAGGGATAATGTATTTCTGAAAATCGCCCAGAAATATCACCAACTGCACTCACAGAACTACCAGTAGACACCAATCTTCCATCAAAATTTGAAATTCTCAATGAAATCAAGCTGCTGGAAGCCAGCAGGACCAAATGGATTTACCCCGGAAGCACTTAAAATTGACCAAGTGCTGCAGTGCATATGCTTACACCTCCATTGTGAACAGTTTGAAGGGAAGAAAAGGTGCCCACTAGTTGAAGGAAGGGTGCCAGTCAAACTACCGAGGTCGGGCGACTTAGGCCTGTCCACTAACTGACGCGCAATCATCTTCTCCTCCACTCCAAGCAACATAATGAGTAGCGTCATATTGAAGAGAACAAAAGATGCACTGAATGCACAACTCATGGAACATGCTGGATTCAGGAAATGTGGAATCAAGTTGAAGCCCTACGTATCATCTTCATCATAGAACAAAGCGTAGAATACCAGTCAAACATCTGTCTCAATTACATCCACTTTCGAAACGCCTCCGACAGCGCTGACCACAAAGTAATTCGAAGCTACTTCAACACTACGAATTGCAGTGCCTCAAGTCTTTATCAACCTCATTCAACCAGCCAGAATTGGAAATCGGATCAATCGGAAACCAGTGTAGAAGTCTTCTGAACTCTGCGGAAGTAACAAGATTCGGATTTTCAACACAAATGTCAAGTCAGTCATTTCTTCTATATGGGTCAGAAACACTGCCACCGCCTCACGAAAACCATTTACAACAGGCCACCACAGAATTTCATCAACAGATACCTACTTCGCTGCCTCTATGATGAAGATCGAATGGCCAACGAGGAAGAATTAGCAGGAAGATGGTAGGTGTATGGGAACAAACTAACCAGGAGCCGAATGCTCAATCAATATGTAGGAGAAAACGGAGATGGATAGAGTACACACTGAGGAGACTTTCGACTCCCACTATGTGCAATGCAGGCCATCGCTTGAGTGGAAGCCGAATGGGAGACTACGAGTGGGTCGTCGGTGAGAGGGTGACATGGAAGAGATCGTGTGAGGAGGGGAGATTAGAGGTTATGGGAAATCGTGGGCCCAGCTAGAGAGGACAGTGGAGAACGGACAAAGTGGAGATGTGTTTCTGAAGCCCTGTATTCTACAAGGAACCCAAGGTAATAATAATACGATTATAATAATATCACTCATATCGATCAGAAATTGGGCGGTTTGAGTTGATTCCACTCTTTATTCTGAGTCAAACTAGACTGTTAGCACACATGAAATGAAAGGACACTTCAAATTCTTAACTAGGGAACCAGTTATCTACTCCGGTCACCTAGACGATAAACACAGGCGTATTGAAGATGTCACCAACAGAAGGTTTTCGTGCTGCGGGAATCAACTTTTTCCATGATTATGATAGACGGATTAAAATCAAAAAGAACGATAGTTACAATTATACAGTACAGTAGGGAAAAGTCGAGAAATAAAGCAACATCGAGGAAACCTGCGTGGAAATACACTGGAACTCTTGCAAAGGGATGGGGGAAGAAGACCTGAATAGATATCTTAGACACAGAGAAGAGGCAGAACAAGAAATGGTTCTCCACGGACATTTGAAAGAAAATGGTCGGGAGAAGGTTGGTGAAGCAGAAATAGACCAGTGCAGTGATAAACAACGAAAGGAGAAGGGATGAGGAAAAGTACTAATAAATGCAAATATGCTTAAATGATGGACTTCTAATTGAAGCAAAGTAGGCCGAAGGTGAGAGAAACATAACACTGTATCAGTTAACCAAAGTGTCATTTGGAAAGAGATCAAAGCAGATTAATTCAGTGGAGGACAGTGAAAGAAACTTATTCACCAAATAGATGGGACAGGAAAACACTGGGCTGAAAATTTCAAAAGACTCTTGAATCGACTACCATCGAGAACTCGTTCGAAAATATATCCAGCAGACACAGAATTGCCACTGAACACCTATCCTGTGACGGTATCATAAGTATTGGAAGCTATAAGATTACTGGGATCCTGAAAAGAATCTGGAGCTGGTGGAGTCTTCTCAGAAACTCCAGAAACCCAGAAACCTCTTGCGACTTGCTCACACCACTACTGTGTAGAAAGAAGAAAAAGTAAGAACTGCAGTTCAAGAAGCACAGAGAAAGCAGAGTTGATCAACATACCCAGTCACCAACGAGCACAGATCCCCATAAATTTGAGGGACCTAAAGGAAGTTATCGCTTTCACTTACCTTAGCACCATCGTTTCAACTACAAATGACATGGGTGGGGATATCAAAGCCAATAAGGATTGAGGCAGTAAGGTCGGAGTTCATTACTCTGAAATCACTGAGGAAATCTGCTGCACTCATCATAAGGAACAGGATCCAGACTTTTAACATCTATATTCAGTCAGTATATCTATACAGCCCAGAAACGTGGCGACTCACTCAGAACATTTTCAACAGGCAGCAGACTTTTATCAACACATATTCCTTACATAAGATCAGATGGTCTGTCGGGAATGATAAGCACTAAGTAAGCAGTAAATAAGCAAAACGGTTTAAGAACCAAGTTGAGAAGTAAATGAAAGTGGGCTGGTCATACACTTGAAAAAAATCCAAGCAGCATAACGCATAGCGCCATGTGGTCAAGTGGAAGTCTAATGGGAAGCTGCTAGTTGGGCATCCAAGTGCGACATAGAGAATTTCTTATGAAGAGGAGATAAAAGCCTGTTGGGAGTCGTGAAGTCATACAGAAGTTATTACAGAAAACTGAGTGAAATAGAGATGTTCTGCAAAAGCCCTATGTTCCACCCGAAACGCAAGGAAAAACTATTCTTTAAAAATAAATTATATAGTAGCAGTGTTGCAGAGAAGCGTATGTCTGTAGCACTTAGTTAACTTCTAAACTAGTAAGTGTTGCAGTTACAGTAATTCAAGTAATTCTTTTGCATTTATAATATTTTTTTTTCTTTTTAGGCTGATGATGTTAATACACCTTCGTCTGTGTCTTTGAATGGAGACATGCCAAAAGACTGTTGTCAGTTACACAACGAAGTGGAGAATTCAATCCCGCTTAGTGATCATCAGGGTTATACAACATCATCTGGTTTTAATGACCATTATTTTTCGATCGGCTCACTATCACAAAATGATTCGGGCACATATTTTACTATGCAAAATAATGATGATGATGATGATGATGTTGAATCAATATATGATGAGATAATTCCAATTGAATCCTTATCAATTGAGAATGAACACTGTAGTCTCACAAATGATCAGAAGATGATAAATAATTCTTCATTACCACAATCATCAATGGATAGCAATTACACTGAAGAACATATCTATGCAGAACCTGTTGATTGTTTAGGATTTGGATGCTTAGAAAAATATATTATACCACAGAATTTTTCACACTTTTACACCAATGTAAATAATCCACTGGTTACTAATAGCATATCAAATAAAGCATTGTCGACATCTACAAGTATGTTTCCTAATTTTATAGTCATTTTATACAGTGCTTTTGTTTTAAAAATCTGTTATTACACTCAATTCCCCTTGATTGATAAGTAGTTTGCTATCAGTTGGTGTAAAGTGAGAGATGGCAATAATATTGTTATGTTCTCGTCGCTAAATTATTGTTATGTACTGGTCGAGAATTTAATAGTCCTGACGCAAGAAGGCGGAAATCAGAAGACCACTAGGTTTGCGATGATACTTCTATTTTCCAAACACAAGGAGAATGCAAAAGTGGTATCACACCAAAGTAAGTATTCACAAGATTGTGAGAACGAAATATATATATGACCGTCCAGACAAGTGTGTGAACAAATCAATAGACAGTCTTAACATGAATGGCTAATTATAATGAAGTATCGATCCATATATACATAGCAAAATATAGCAGACATGTCAGCAACCACCATATATGGATATATGTCACCAAGCAACGAACTGTCAACAAACACTCATATTATATATAATATAAGGGGAATATACATTGTTAAAAGAGACAGGTTCATCAAAGTTAAATGGTCACAGACTAAGCGAGTAAACAGAAAGAGAGATCACCATACACACACATATATATATGTGGATACATATCAAATATTTATATGATAGTTCATGTGTCGGTGGCACAGTGGTTAGGACTCTCGCCGACCATGCACATGGTCCGAGGTTTGATGCCCTGCCGACGCACAACTGATATCTATGGTCAGCCTGCAAAATTTGGGCTACCGATATCCATGCTGAAAATTCCATACTTGTACCAAAAATACAGTGTGGAATCAAGCTGTAATAAAAAATTAACAAAATAAATAAAAATTTCACCATTTTATGTGAATGTCTGTGCACGTAGTAATGAGTCACGTAGGTTGTTTGACAACTGAATTTAGTATTTCGTAATCATAGCAAAGTTTCCTCTCGTGATTTGTTGGTTGGAAATCACGCTCTTAAATTTATATTTCTGATCTCCCAAAGCAATTAAACCCCATATTTATTTCTCCATGTTGTTATCCTTTCTCCTGCATATTTCTTCTTATTATTATTGTAGTTCTTTTGAATTGTATTTCTCTCTTCTCTCTACCCTTGTGTCGTAAATGGAGTGTAACTACTTGAACTGCCACACTTTTGTGCAAAGTCCTATGTAGAAACTGGGTCAGCCAATTTGAATCCATAACTCTGATAATCGTTATATAAGGAGGACTTCTTGTTGATTATGTGCACAGAAATGCAGCATTTCAAGCTGCTACACTCCATGTAGGACACAAAGGTAGAAAAGAGAGAATTAATGAAATTCAAAAGGAAAAATGTCCATTTAGACATTTAGAAAGCAAAGGATTGAGTGAAGAAATATGTACTTTTCGATTAGATTCTCAAAACTCAAAAGAATTTTAATAAAAACTAACATTCAGACGACATGAGGATATAATCCAAAATGAGAGATCACGAAGAGTGAACACATCAGCGCCAATGAAAACAATTTTGCACCATATCACAACAATGGTCTCCCTCCATTTGTTCATAGCATACCGGGGACCCTAACTAGGTAGTGTACACCTCCCTGGTTATTTTGTCAAACGAAAAATATCGAATTGTATTCGTATTCAGAATAAGAATGATAGTTATTCAGTATTTGTTAACTTCCTTTTCACCAACTGTTCCAATACGCTATATATCATTTAGTTTTGTTTCTATGGGTTATGATAATGACCACATATTGGACGAAAATGTTTGTGAACTGTTGATCTTTGCGGTGATGATTTAAGTTGCAACAAAGTTGCATTAGTATTTGAATCAATGGCCTGTAGTTCGCTAGCCTAGTAATTCCATGCACTGCAAAGTCATTCTCAAACTAAGGTTGAGTGAAAAATAAAAGTAATCATTGTCAACGGCTGATGGTCAGCGGACAAGTCAGAAACGAAGATACAGCTTTTCAAAGTAATAAATGCTCATAATAGTGAAATTATTAAACGACTTTTAAATTTGATCACAATCCTGTACCGTATTGTAACACGAAAACACAAAACTATTTGGTGACGGAATTATTTAGTGGCAACTCTGTGTATAGATATTGTGCGTCGGTGGTATAGCGGTTAGGACGATCGCCGACCATGAACATGGTCCGGGGTTCGATCCCCAGCCGACGCACTCCTTTACCTTTTTAGTCAGAAATAAATGCTGGTAAAGAGGAAATGTTGGGCATGAGGCTAGCAACCCCATCCTGTAAAATAAACACTGCTACAGAAACTTCAAGCCACTAGCTTGAAGCCCTATGTTCCACTGGGAAACGTGAAGGAAAAAAAACTATGTATAGATATAGGCATATACTAAATGTTAAAATTACAATTTGCACATATCTTGGATATTCTGTTACTTTTGTATTCTATATTGTGCTTTCCAAGTTGTTCCATAAGAATCGTTCATTTGCTCTCTTCTTCATTCAATCCATCCCTCTGCTATTCGATATTCTTTCAGACGACATACACATTTATATCTATATCTGTATACGACGTGTGTCTGTACTTAATACTTATAGAATATTATTAGTAATTTTCTCCATTTAAACTGTATGGTAAATGAAAGGTAAGGTCACTGTGGTCTAGGCAGACTTTCAACAATTTTACCGTAAGTTTGAACTGTCTCTCATTTTGCAGGTGTTAAGACATTTCTCATGGTGGACAATGTTTAGTTGTTATTGTTTATATCGCGGATTTGTTGAAGTTAAAAAATACTGCTTCAAATTGTAGAAAATACTCATCAGGATATTCAAACGACATGGATAAAAAGTCTAACATAGGAAGATTTTTGGCAATTTCATCATCAAAAGCTTTACAGTTGCATTTTTATACATAAGTTCACATATTTAACTGAACTTTTTTTTAGATTTTCCCGTCGATTGATTGGACCGAAGTGCTCGGTGTCAGGTTGACATGTCTGTTGGCTTCTTGTGCAGATGCTTCATTGATGTCTGGGCATGTAATTAGAATTTAATTGGTGGATGGTGACTAGCAGTGGGATCCAGGATGCGCATTTCGTCCTATTTGGCGTTTGAAACTACAGGCACTGGGTTTGAATCTCGGTGGGAACATCATCACTCACTGGGGAATACAAGTACACTCAGATGACGAGTCTCAAATAGGACGAAATATGCATCCTGGATTGCACTGCTTGTCACCATCCACCAATAAAAAAGTTCACATAGTTACAATTATTATTTAATTCAGCATAGTAAACAAGGTAGTTAAAATGAGAAGCAAAGAAACAAAATGACATCGTATTAGAAAATAGTTGCGTAATACGTAAAGTTGCTTCTGAAGAAGACAGGTGTGAAGGGCATGTGCATAGAAACAAATTGAAATACTTTTTATAATGGAAAATTAAAAAGTGAATAGAGTGAAAAAAACGATAACTGAGGAGCCAATCCGAACTAGGTACATGGCAAATACAGAGGTTGGACTAGTTCCTGTTGAACACAACTCCGTCTTCTCTATGCATTCGATGAGGGCTCCTGCGATACGAGAAGGGCTGAAAAATACTATCTTTGGTTGATTTTCGTTCACCTTATTGGTAGTAGAATCCTTTCTTAGCTTCGTGTTCTTTTCTTTTTGAAAATACTCACCATTTAATTTCTACTTGATGTCTCAAGTGGTAGCGTATTCGTTGCAAAACACACCAGTAGTATGTTCTGTCCTTTATGAAATCATGAGTCAGTGGATCCTAAGATAGAACAAAACAAACATTGTCGTCTGCATTGTTTCCACTGGTTCTCTACTTGATATATACACTTAACTAAAAATGTAGAGAAATCAGTAAAATTTACATGAAGTATCCAAATAAATCATAGTCATTTCTCTTTGCATTATAATGTCCCATGCATTCAGAAATATGTTTGCAGTTTGCTTGATATTTACTGGCTTGATATAAGCAAGCTATTTATAAAGATTGCATGGAGGATTTCATCATGAGGTGACATCAGTTAGAGAACCACTAGAAAACCTGGGAGTACTGGACAGTTGTTTTGTCCTAGTTTGGGACGCTTCAGCAACACGCACCCGCCGGGGTCGAATCCAGGACCTTCTGGTTACAAGGCGTGCTTGTAGACCATTGAGCCACTGGGACCCCGCAAAACCAATACTTGAAAATACAAAGAGTAGATATTTTCCCATAATGTGCTAAATTGTAATTCTTACAGTCTAACCTGCTTTTGCTTCGTTTCTAGCGTATTCAACCAGTACCGTTTCATTAACAAGTACGTCAAACACTTGGTTCGGAAATACGATAGGTTCTCGACGAGAACGTTATCGATCATTCAGTACACCTGAAGGATGTTCTACAGCTTCTGATGATGTCCGTGGTTCATCGACCAGCTTCTTATCCAGTATTAATTTTTCGAAAAGTATGGTACATCCTCTTTCTGCAAAGCAAATCCACTCGCGGTCCGTAAGGTCTAGTCATGCTGATGAATTGTGTAACGGCCTTCATTTGGATTTCAGTACTAACAGTACATCATTCTCAACTACTACCTCACCTCTAAAATCTCGTATGCATAGTACAGATGCAGTTTTTGAAAAGTTAACACATTACAGTACTCCTGTCAGTTCACCTGCTTCCATCACTTTAAGTGATGATTTGAGTGAAAATGAATTTTCCAATTTTTCAACTATTCGTCCTCTATCACTACCGAATCCTTTATCTCGTTCACATCATCATCATTTTTGGCATCATCCAAAATGCCCCCATTATCAAATTCATCGCGATTCTCAAGATAGTGGTCTGGGAACGGTATCACCCTCCTCTTCAAAAGTAAGCGTTATTTCACTTTTCATACCATTTATTATCATCAAGATGCTTGAAGTTGATGTGATGTCACTCTGTTTCAAATTCGTAATTTGCAAATTAATTTGCACTTTACTTAGCTCGAGGTGAGATTTCACTAGAGCTCCCTTTGGAAACCGAAATTATTCATATCACAATATGTTATCTGCTTCATACTGTAAATGGTAATAAAGAAGCCAAACACAAGTGCATAAAACTGTGCACTACTGACTGATTGAGATGACTAGGTCTATACCACTCACTCGCTAGGCAGATCAAAGTTATCTAAACACCATAATGCCGTTCTACTCGTTGTGGCCTGACTCATCAGTGATGTGTCTAGTTCGACTCAGATTAAAGAGTGGAATCAACTCAAACCGCCCAATTTCTGATCGATATGAGTGATATTATTATAATCGTATTATTATTACCTTGGGTTCCTTGTAGAATACAGGGCTTCAGAAACACATCTCCACTTTGTCCCTTCTCCACTGTCCTCTCTAGCTGGGCCCACGATTTCCCATAACCTCTAATCTCCCCTTCCTCACACGATCTCTTCCATGTCACCCTCTCACCGACGACCCACTCGTAGTCTCCCATTCGGCTTCCACTCAAGCGATGGCCTGCATTGCACATAGTGGGATTCGAAAGTCTCCTCAGTGTGTACTCTATCCATCTCCGTTTTCTCCTACATATTGATTGAGCATTCGGCTCCTGGTTAGTTGGTTCCCATACACCTACCATCTTCCTGCTAATTCTTCCTCGTTGGCCATTCGATCTTCATCATAGAGGCAGCGAAGTAGGTATCTGTTGATGAAATTCTGTGGTGGCCTGTTGTAAATGGTTTTCGTGAGGCGGTGGTCGTGTTTCTGACCCATATAGAAGAAATGACTGACTTGACATTTGTGTTGAAAATCCGAATCTTGTTGTTACTTCCGCGGAGTTCAGAAGACTTTACACTGGTTTCCGATTGATCCGATTTCCAATTCTGGTTGGCTTCGAATCTTCATGCGTTTCGCCAGTAGTTGAGACGATGCCTCGTAGAAAAGTGAAGGAAGTGACCTTTTCAAATTATTCCGTTGATAGTGATGGGTGCGGTTTGTTGTTGCTGTTGGTTGGTTAGCTTCATCACCTCTGTTCTCTCTATGCCCACTTGAAGTCTTGTCTTCACTTCTTGTTCTTCCAAATTGTTTTTCTCCTAGGGAGTCCACTTCACTTTTTACCCCTACCCTGCTAAAGTCTCCACCATGATATGTATGAATACACTCTGTTGGTGTATGTTCCATGTTGTTTTTTCTGCATCCTTGTTTCCAAGCGAAATCTGAACTAACCAATCTTGTCGAATTACTGTATGACAAATAGTTACTCTTTTAACACTTAATATTTAGTTTTAACATCATCTTTAAAATTATCGTGCCTATACTTCCTATCTATAACTTGAAGTTTTTGTGAAAAGTAATATTGAGAAGTCTTGAAACTTATAACTGACCTTTTAGTATGTATTCAGTTGAAGAGAATTCAGAAAATAAATTAAGCTCGTATTATCCTATAGAAATGTCTGATCTTTCTTCATGATTCATAAGACCAAAACTTACCCTTTTTTACTATAAAACCAATAAAGTTATTTACTAATAGGCTAATATAATATAATATATAAATAATATGGAACACGCATGAGTACGCTTCTCTTTAGTGTCAATTTTGTAACGTCGGTTCCTTACACCTAAGTGAATGTTTTGATGAATGTCATAGCGATATCAAATTTGTCATGTATCAACACAGTGTATTGAGTATACTGTCAACTCAATCAAATTCACTGTTACTCAACCACCAATAGCAATTCTATGCAGTTGACAATGAGCTACACTTTTTATTTGGGGATTGGTTGTACCATCTGAGGCTGCTTAAATCTCGGTGCGTTAGGCGGTTGTCTACCATTGACCCACTAGTTGAAAGTCGATTGCTTAGACCAATGAGTTACAGTTCCACTAGTATAGTGTGTATACAATTCTTTTGTATTTTCTATTGTATACAATTCGATATCAGACTAACTGTCAGTTTGTTATTATTTTATTCTTTGTGTCATTCAGTTTCAACTACAGTGTACATCAGATGGTTGTAATTTCAATCATTACAAAAATAATCCAAACAGCACTGATATATATTCATCTGAACGTTTATCAACTACTAATCTACCATACAGAATTGGCCAACAATATCCTTGTAAATCATATTCATCTATACTTTCACCACCTTCTTCTGTAATGCCTTCATGTTGTTGTCGTTGTACAACATTAAATAATACACCATCGAAACCTATTTTTATTGATCCATCAGATTTCCAAACTCATCATCCTACACAATCCCCGTTATCTTTTCCAACATGCGGTGTCCTGTCAATGGCAAGTAGTAATACTAATCACTATTATCGTAATCCTTGTGATCAATCTTATTCTCTTTCTTCTTCTTCTTCATCACATAGTCAGCAGAGTATTCTGAATTCTGTAATTCCAAAAGAATTTAAGTGGTTTCGTCGTAACAAACCGGTATGTTTCATATTTGTTTTGTTTTTTTATCATATATGGTTGACATGTGTTCAGATTTTTAAACTTTAAATGATGTTTGGTCTATGTTTCAGGCTTTCTTTCAATACGTTTCTTATCTTTCTCAGTGAAATGCTAGTTGTAAAGCTATCGTAAAAAGAAAACTACAAAATGATATCATGTCACAATATTTGTCATCTTATTGTCTTATTTAAAATTTATTCAAGGGATTGTTTGAATTGAATTGTCAGTTGGTTTGCGCGAAACCGATGCAAACTTCGTTTGCCACTAACAATTTGAGCAAATACAGCGTTTATTATGTGAATATTTGTATTTTAACTACCTTTTCTATCTTTACTCTTTATTCGACTTCCGTAGGAAACTTCGAAATCGTTTCACGATTATAGATGACAATTGAGATGCTTGATAACTAGCTGGCTGAATCTTTTCTGCCAAATACTGGGAATTCATTTTTGCGCATAGATTTCTGTGAATTTATCATCAGGAAAAAGTAGGCGGGTGATTGTAAGCTGTCACACTCGTATTAGTTCTACACCAAAATCAATATACATCTAATAGAGAGAGAGAAAGAGAGGATTAGATTGATTTATAATCTTTCATAGATGTGACCAAAACAGGTTGATAAACCATTTGATTTGTTCGGATTGTGGAGTCTATGTACATCATAGGCTTAGAATCAGGGCTTTTGGAACTCTTAGGTAAACCAGTATGTCATCAGACGTTCGGATTCTCCTTTTCACTTTTTTGAAGAACACCTCTGCTGTGTGAAGTCAGTGAATCGGTCTTACCTGGTAGAGGCCATAAACTCATGGCCACATGACAGCATTTCGAGAAGCAGACCGAAGTCTACTCACCCTTGACTGTACCAGGTAGTTTATGGAAGCAAATATTATCAGGGCAGAGCGCAGGTGTATATAGCATACAATTCTCTTCGGATCTTGGACACAACCACACAACGACACTATTCTGTCACATTTAGCAGATACGGCAACAAAAAGTCACAAGAACACCACCATAGAATATGACAGGGCAGGTGCCGCAATAAGTCATACTGCCACTTAAACTAGGATCATTTAAGAAACTATAATTTTCTTAGCACATATCTTGTTTGAACAAACAAGTGTTTGCCCAGAATTACTCTCCTAACCTTTTCAGCAATCATTTAATATGATCGTCTCATATTTGGTATTATTTCCGTATCACTTCACACATTCTTATTTGCAATCGCTCGCATAACAGCAATATGGAATATTTGTATAAGAAGCTAGTTTCAATATGTTAAGAAACTTTTATTGTGGGCAGACAGTACTTGTATTAAAAGCTTCTAAACCTATCTATTATGATCTTGATCAAGTATTTCGGTATTCAAAAATGTAGGTTCTCACTGTCTCATAAGTTTGCATTAATTAGACTTCGTCATTTTATAGAGTAAGCATTTCCTTATATTTTTGAGTCTACTGATTCGCTGTATGATTTATATAAATACTGTGGTTCTGGAAACTAATAAACTGTTCTCTATGTTTATTATTTATTTAAACGCATATAAACTTGGTACAATATGGCACCAAGAAGGATGCGCCACACAATAATAATAAAACAACATAGACCAAAAGAAAAATACATATAAGTAGAGAAGGGATAAAGAACTTCATCTGGAAGGAAAACAGTCATGCTTAATAAGTTCAAACAGTATTCGTTAACTATCATCGGGAAGGGAAGAAAGAAGGAAATTGCAACATGTGTAATAGCACGCGATAAGTTTCATTGACTGTTTGTTGCTTCATTCAATTCATTGTGTGAGGGCTGAGATACTGTCTGGGGCCCAGACCGAAGCAGGTGGTTTTATTAAGGGATCACCCACCGAGCCTTTCACTTGGAGTCTAATCCACAAGGCAGCGGAGCAGCGTCAGGAGCTGCATTCCCATGGTTGTCGGTGACCCATATTGGTTCATACGCCATTTGATCCGATTGGATACTGGAGCCCATGTACCCCATGGTAACTGCTTTTAGTTTAACCGCTAACCAACAACCTTCCTGACATGGTAGGACCTGCAGGGACAGAGTCCCAGTCAGTTTAGCATGTTGGGTCATTACGGTATTCAAGCCCGGCCACCACGACAAGGTATTAGTTATATTTGAATTTGTTTTTTTCCAACTCTTACTTCACTAAAATATTTTTGCTTTCCTATTGTCTGTTTTCATTTCTTATGTAGCTAAAATTGTTCGGGCATAATCGTTTTTCAACGGAAACTCAGACTCATTCTTCTTCACCACCGTCGATGGTATCGTCTGCACCGCCACCTATGCCACCGCCGCCTCCTCCTCATCTTCCTCCACCACCCCCTTTTTACTTTTCAGTCAATAACAGCTGCAATTCAACTCCGCATACTTTATCTATTCCTCCAAGCAGTAATAATAATAACTTGTTAACATCGTCCTCATCATTGCATTTAGAATCTCAACAGCTGTCTGTAAGTTGGTGTTTTACATCTTCAGTCTGTTTTTTTTTGTATGTCTGCATGGTCTTTATTCACTGTTTCCTTCATATAGGTGCATACATAGTAAATTAACATTAGTGTACTCAATAATAATAATTATCATTCCCTTAGGTTCCCATTTGATAGCCTCATTTCACACATCAATGAAAATTTTGAATTATTAATATTATTCTCCCAGGTTCCGGATGGAACATGGGGCTTGGACAGCATATCCCTATTTCGTCCTGTCTTTCGCATTCTTTTATCCATCTGACTCCACGATTGCCCATAAACTTTCATCTCCTCGCACAATCTCTCCTCCATGTGAACCTTGGACGCTCAACTCGTCTTTTTCCACTTAGGTTCGACTCGAGGACCTGGCGCGTAATGTGTCACTCAACGGTCTCTTCAGTGTATGTTCCTTGTGCATATTTGTTGGACGATGGGTTCTTGGTTGATTCGTTGCTAGAGTTCCTTGTTGCTCACTGTTTGTGGCCATCTGTCCATCTTCAGTACGGAGCAAAGACACGTGTTTATGAATGTCAGTTAGCAATGCTTTTGGTGATGCATTTGGCAAGTATGTGAAGCATATAGAAGCAATGGCTGATTTAGCATTAGTGTTGAGAATTTGGACCTTGGTGCTTTTGATGGTTGCAGAAGATTTCCACACTGATTTCAGAGCAATGAAGGTGTGTGTCGCCTTTCTGGTCCTGACTGTCTTCTACATTCTGATTTGTGGTTCCTGTAGTTGAAATGATGCTGTGTAAGTAAGTGGAAGAAGTGATCTTCAAATTTCTTCCGTTGATAGGGATTAGTGCTTGTTGTTGTTGTTGATCAGTCATCTTCATCATCTAGCGTGTTATGTCTTCTCGCTCTCCACGGCCAGTGCATATTCCAGTCCACCATTGTTAGGAGTATCGTCGGTGATAGTATGCAGCCTTGTATTACTCTTGTTTCCACTTCACTGAACTTTCTGCTGAGAATCACTTGACATTTGTCATCATCATCATTATCATACTGTGCTGTCGAGTGGGGTTGATAAAAGTTTGGGGTATTCCATGGTTTTCAGGTAGTTTCTAAAGGATCGGTAATTGAATACAGCCATGTAAATTACTTGGTATGGAGCATATGGCATATCGTTGGTGAAATATCCATGTTAAGGCTTGTGACACTGTCCACCGTATTGTTAAAACAGTTTCGGAGTTCCCTCACAGTCAACACTTTCAATGACTTTTTTCAAATCTATGGAATAAAAGTAAAGATTCGACTGTCACTGTATGCTCCGTTTAGTGATGATGTGTATTCAACTGTCCAGTAATTTTTTTTTCTTAGGTATAAGTCTATTATACTTGGACTCAGTATTATTGAAATGAATATGACAGTGCTTGGTTTTGTTGGCCTAACTATGCAGAGTTTTGTACAAAAGTAGGCTGCATTGTGTATCTTTAGTATACCTGATTCTTATTGTCAGTGACAAGTTAATAAAATTCAACAACCGTTTTACATTGTATCATAAAATATTTCGTATATTCAATGGAACTGTATTTTTGATTGGACACTAGTCAAGTGACTATTGTAATGTGTATATGTGTGTGTGTGTGTCAAGGCTTCCTGCCGATTGCCTCCAATCATCCAATACCAACCAGTGAAACTGTATGCAGCATTTCAATTTGTTTGCTTATTATTATTATTAGTTAAACCTGCAACAGCCATTATTTTTCTAAATTCGTTTTTATGATTAAATAACAAAACAAACCATTGTCTGTTAGGCTTTTGTAAGTCTGGTTTAGTGATAATGATACAATTGAGTGCAATTCAGTTCTTCCTGATGATCTAGTGATTAAGAACAGTTATGAAAAGCGTCACAATATATGCTGCTAGTGGTTAAAATTATTTATTCGAAGGTATTTGTGTTAGTGTTTTCTGATCAAATGATCATTACATTTAAGATATGGAGTTCATCACCGGCAATTTATTCAAATCACCTCAAAAGTGAGCAGCTATGGTTAGATATATATTATCTAAACACTTAAATGGGAAATAATATGAATTATAATTACTTCAAATCCATAAGTAATGAAAAGTATGATCTATATCTGATTTCCCAAAAACTGGAAGATATGCAAGTGAAAAGCAACAAGTTGGCAGACGAAGCATTATAGATAGGGCTTCTGGTGAACATAGAGAAAGCAGAGGTGATGAAGATTCCTGGCCAACAGACAACATTCAGCGTAAATGGGAGAAATCTGAAAGAAACCACCTGCTTCACCTACCGACCTGAGAAGCTTATTTCAACCACAGGTGGACGAAACTGACGAGGATATCAAAGTGAGGTTCGGGAAAGCGAGGCAAGCTCTCATTACCCTCAAGTTTGTGTGTGTGAAATGGAGGTAGATTGGCCATACTCTGAGAAAACCATCAAGTGACATCACACACCAGGCTATCGCTCGAGTGGAACCCGAATGGGAAGCGTCGAGTTGGTTGTCATTGCGAGGGTGACATGGAGGAGGTCATGCGAAGAGGAGATGAAAGCATGTGGGCAGACGTAGAGCCAGGTGAAAACGTTGGCGGAGAACTGAACGCACTGGGGACGTGCGGCTTCAGCTCTATATTCCTCTAGGAGCCTAAGGAGGCAGTAATAATAATAATAACAATATTGAGTTCTCCCAATAGGCTGAATCCGAAAGCCTTAGTTTTCAGGTACACCTCACTGCAATGGTTATTGATTATGGTTTTCAGTTGATTTATTATGATTGTTTCAGAAATGAAGTCCAGATGGAAAATGTTTTCTGTAGTCCTTTCTACTTTTTTCTGTATGATATTTGTTTTCTGTGTAGCATTCTTTTCTTGTTCATAATAATTATTTTTTCACGACATGGTGCTACCGTAATGTCTTTTTTAGAATATAGTGTCTAAAAAAATGGTTTTATGAATTTTTTGTTCCCTCTGTGCATACACAAGTCTTTGCGTTTGTATTGAAAGAAGTTACTGATGCAGTCAACACTTCCGAATGTCAACTGTTTAGCAGGAAGATAACATCGGGTGCCAGTGCCTTCTTTGACAGAAAGCGTTAACAGAAATTGAATATGTTTAGAATGGGGGGTTGGCGGTGACCACCAAATTGTGAAATCCCTTACTTCTAGTCTAAGCTATACTGGATGAGATATTAGGGATTTCGTTTTCAGAGATTATTGATGAAATGGTCAGATGTATCTACTACTTATCATTTTTGAAAATATGTGAAAATTAGTGAAGTAAAACTTTGATCTCTATTCAAGTATTGGTTTGTAGGGATTTGGTTGATTGGTTACAGGTCCCAAACTAGGACGAAACAGCTGTCCAGTACTCCCAGGTTTTCCAGTGGTTCTCTAACTGATGTCAGCTCATGATGAAATCCCGTAACTTTGATCTCTATGTTTGAAAAAAGTGCTTATTAAGGCTTTCAGTTTTTTTGGCTAGAAATGTTTATCATATACTTCTTGCTGTTAACTAACAAATAGTGTATTACCTATTGTATTCACCTTAATAGCTAGACGATGGGAGACGAATTGGTTTTAAATGTGAATCATTATTTCAAGTGATCGGACTTTTTTATTGATGAAAGTCTGGTGGTTTTTCTACCTGTAAAAAATTGTTTATTTGATCATTATGTGTAAAGTGTTGAGTTTATGATTTAAGTAATTAACTAAATCCGTAAACTATACTGACTGACTGACTGAGATTCAACTTACAACTTTGTGCAGAAATCCAACAGTGCCACACTCGATGTAGCTTACAAAGGTAGAAATGTAAATTCAAAAAACCCTATAGTAATAATAATCAGAAATGTACGAGAGCAAAAACAATAGCTTGAAAAAAAATGTGAAGACTATTGATCTAGAAGACTACAAAGAGTGGATGCATCTGTACCATATCACCGACAATCTCAAGCAATTTGTTCTGAACGTCTATGGAACAACATTCAGTCTGTCTGCACTCTTCTGCATGCCTCAAACCAACAGACTAAGGCATCATGGATTATCTTCTTGTTTTGAACTGACCACCCCTAACTCATATTCAATCTAAACCTTTGTCAACTAGCATTGTTCGATGGAGATGGTGGTGGCTTGGATTGTACATCACTTATTTTAGTCATCTCACCTAATATAACTTCGGAACTTGATCGACTGACTTTCCCTCATTACCTAATACTCAACACCTAACCGCAATATTACTCCGTGGGATTTATCACCTTGGCCAGCTCTATCCGCCTTACCCCAGTGTAACCATTGGCATAGTAATCAGTGCACCCTAACAAATTCATCTGGACTAAAACGCCCCAACTTAAACCACCATTACCATCATCTTTCACCACTTCATCATCTAGTCCTGTCACCAACCCAACTTTCATCCCCTTCCGCTGTTCCGTGGCCAAGCTCATCATTCCCAACATACTCCTGTCGTATTTGACTTGTTCATAATTCAAACTTGGTGTCGCAATCCCCCTGGTCCACCGACCATTTATTAAAGTAGGGCTGAATTCCTCCTTAACTTCACACTCAATCACCTCCACCACAATTTTATCTGGTTCTCGATCCCCACTCACCTCCAAAACATGGTGCTCCATTATCTCACCCCCCTCAATACACAGGTCCAGTACTAGAGTAGTAAAACTGCTAGTTACATATATGTATTGCACCTCACAGCGAACATTCTCAGCACTGCACAGCAGTAACATCAGTGCCTCATATTCCTTTGAGTTTTGCTCCCCCTGCTGTAATATACTCACCACTCTGGGGTGCTAAAATGATAATCTGTATGGCTCCTTCTCCAAATCCCCCCACTCGTCTACATAGAATATGCAGATGATATGGTCCTTCTAGATGTGGACGCTGACGAAATGCAGAGTTTTCTGAACACCTTGAGCAGAAATCTTCGAATGTTTGGCATGCTATTCGCTCCCGTCAAATGTAAGATAAGGGATGGACCACATCGACTACTCCTAGATTAAAGAT